GCCTGACCAGGCACCCTGTGCTGCCCCAGAAGGCTTACTGGAGAAGAGCTCAGATCTCCTAAGCCGTATGCAAGCTCATCCTTAAGTTTCCCATCAATAAGCCGAGCCAGGTAAAGCTATGGGTGTAGCAGAGTCTGTCCCTGCTATGGATAGGAGTATCCCACTGTAGCACAAAGCCCAAGCCTGATAACTGCCTCCACATTCAGGGAGCACCACAAGATACAACACGGCAGGAGGTTGGAACCAGATGATCTTAAGGTCCTTTCCAACCCTAACTATTCTGTGATTCTATGGCTTGCAGAGGTATTTCCAAGGCAGAAAGCAAAGCCATTTAGATGAGGATCAATTGTCACATAAGGAGTTAATGCTCATCTACCTTCTCAAAACAGAGGACTTCAGTAAGGTGATGACACAGCTAGTGGCTTAATTGAAAGAGTGATCTGCAGAGAGGGAAGGGAGAGCTGGCTACTCCAGCAGTGAGCAGACCAGCACAGAGCTCCAATGTAAGTGGTGTGAACTCACACAGGGGAAAACTGCCCCAGCCCCTTTTTCTTTTCCTGCTCCACTTTGAATCCAAAGCAGCTCAGCACTTACATATGGAGATTGATGACAAGGATGACAAGTGCATGTGGGCTGATGAACACGAGGTGAGCCATGCAGTACTCCAGCTGGCCAGCAAAGTCCCACAAGAGAAACGTGAAGTCCTCAATCTGGAACTGATCCCAAATGTTCGCTCTTCCCGGGGCACCAGTTTGGGTTGCCCCTGCTTCAGGCTTCTGCAGGTGGTGGACTTCCCCACCAGCGAGGCCCCCACCAACATGGTCCTCACTCTCTCGTCCTCCTGCTCCGAACCCTGTTGAAGCTGGTTGAAGTAGTTCTGGATCTGCTGTATGCCACCAGCCCACACATCACTGGACAGCTCCCAGAGAGGATTCCTATTGGCCTTGAACGTTTTCAGGGATCGCCCCTGGAAGAGGTCCTTGGGGAGCTGGTGAAGGGCATTATCCTGCATGTGGAGCTCCTGTAAGTGTGCCCGCTGCAGGACAGGCTGGGGGAAGGTCCGGAACAAGTTGTTGGGATGTTGAGGTACAGGAGGCTGCCTTGACAAGCTGCCAGGTCCTTGGGGAGGGCACCGAGACACTTGTTGTTCAGCTGCAAGTGTTTAAACCTGGGGAGATGGGAGAAAACCCCCTCTGGGATGAGCCGGGTTTGGTTCTGATTCAGCTCGAGCTTGCATAAACAGAGGAGGCTCTGGATTTCATTGGGAAAGTCCACAGTCTCATTGTTGGACAGTATCAGCTTAGGAGTGCCGGTGATGCTCCTGAGCTTGTTCCTGTTGAGGTCAAGGCTCTCGAGTATGGGATTGCTCAGGACTGCTGGAGGCAGCACACAGCCTCTGGGTAGAGAGAGTCATTTCAGGCAAACCATCCTCCTGCTCCTGAGCTGGATGCACGGGACAGGGAAGGTGGTTGGGAGACACTTTCACCCTTTGGGTTGCAGACTGATTTTCCCCTCGAGTTCTGTGCAACGTTGGGATTGTTTTGGCCAGCACGGAAAAGCAGAGACAAAACAGAGGAGCCGCTTGAGCAGCTCCTGTGTCCTCTCAAGAGGGGACCCAAAGCCGAGGCACAAGGATCTTGGCTGGGCCTGAAGGCACAGGGAGCAACAGCGCCCACCAGACAGAGTGCCAGGTTAGCGGCTTTGCTCTCAGGAAAGCAGCACAAGAGCTCCAGCCGCAGGTGCGTGTACCCCAAACCCAGCAGGTTTCCGATCCCAGCACGGGACGAGCTGAGGTCAGGAGGAGAGCTGCTCTCCAGATCACTCCTCCAGCCTGCCCTCTGCTCTTCACCACCGCCAGGGAGATGCGTGGAGGCCAGGGTGAGGGAGTTCAGACACTTCCTCTCTCACATCCTCTTCCTGCTCCAGACGCATGCTGCAATTCCCCACAGAGATGCTCCCAGACCCAGGAGACCCAGGGAGTAACGGGACAGCATGTCCCCCACAGGACAGGGTGTACAAGAAGGGACCCAGTGATGGCTAAGGGCATCCCCAAACAGGAGGGTGTTTAGAGTAGAGAGGTTTGTAGGAGAGAAAAGTGCTGCAGGGATACAGATCACACGGTACTAGGACAAAACATGGTCAGCTTTGCTTTCCTCTCCCTCGTTTCACTTCCTCACCAGATCACGGCATCGCCTTGTGCAAGGCAGCTGGCTCAGGACCCACTTGTCACTAGTTCTCAGCATCACCACTCAAACCTGGTTCATGCAATGAGCCCAGCAGGAATTAAGCTTTCGCCTTCTCCCAAACCCCCAGTCTCTCCTCCAGCACCATCAGAAACAACCCCAAGGGTTCCCACCACTGCTCTGAACGAGAACAGCAAAGAGCTGGGGCAGTTCCAGGCCCTGCAGCTGGATCCCCCAGGCCCCTTGGCCTTCCCCTTTCATTTCATCATCTCGTTTTTTCCCCCCCTCCCCGAGCTCTACCCAGGAACCCTACCCCATCTTTTCTCCATCCATCCTCAGAGCAGCTTCCAACACCCCAAGCACCTCTAGCCGGATACCAGGGCCACGGGTATGTCCCAAAAGCAGCTCTGGAGGTCAAGACAAAGACGGTGGCAGAGTAGCTCCCAAGTCAGCTTCTTACAGCAGCATCCCTGCTTTTGCTAACGGGGATTTTGGTGTTACCACTGTTGCTGAGGAGGGAAAGGACACTGACAAGAGGTTATGCTACTGCTGAACTACTGCATGTGCTGAATAAGTAAGATTTCTTCCCTTGAATCAGTGGCAGCACATGATCCAAGAGGGTCAACCAGAGAGGAAAACAACAAAAGCCAGAATGCAAGTAGTGTACACAGTATACTAGAAATAAAAGGTTTATAGAATATGGTGGAAGAGGCATTTTTAGGTATTCTCTTTAGGTATTTTATTTAGGTATTTTAGGCAGTTTCTCATTGTAAACTGCCCCTTGGGAAAGGCAATTTGATGGATTTGTTTTTAATGGTAGGCAGAGTGAAAGAACCAGTGTTCTTGTAGCTTGAGGGGAAAGCACGTGCAGAAGGCAGTTTTCAGTTTCACTGCTTTTCCAGGTAACTGAACAGTCCATACAGAACATGCACTTCTATCTGGCAACAGATATAGGTATGTATCAGATATATAATATAGCTACCTGTTATATTTATTACTAAAGAGTTTAAAGCAGTGAATCAGCCTTAGGAACAGAACAGACAGACATTGTCTTCCTGGTGAACAGTGTAGTTGCTTCTATTATTTGGTCAAGCTTTGTGACATCACCTACACTCAATACAGGCAGCTTACTCCAGAACTGCTGCCCCAATACATGCAAAGATGTCCCACTTCCAGATCACATGCATTCATGGATAGATCACATTCCAGATCACATGCATTCATGGATAGATCACATTCCAGATCACGTGCATTCATGGATAGATCACATTCTCTTACTCTTGCGCCACCAGTGCAGTAGTTTCTGAACTTCATTTTGTCAAGACGTCTGTCAGCAGTGTCTGTATCCACAACCTCCCACCCATTTACTAGGTATATACCCCAGCTACAAGTTTAGCTTTGAAACTAAAGCTTCTCTCCCAACTATTCTTTTGCAGTCTCAGTGAGCCTTTGCTCCAGAATATTCTGAGAAAGCCCAAAGTTATCAATCCCTTGAAGTCCCTACAGGCTGCACTTTCATACAAGGAGCAAAACAGAGCTGAGGATGCTCAGGGCTCATCCATAAATGCTTCTGTAGGATGGTGAATGATGGGAGTCTTTTGCCAGTCCAGACAGTACTGGCATAGGAGTTTGGTTTGTTTCAAAAGACAGTCACCAGCTACTTGGAACCACAGCCAAAATTATAGTATGAGACCAAAAAACCTTGCGACTGAAATAAAAGTTCACTGAAAAGTTTGGAGCGCCAACAAGGGATCAAAGGCTGTCCTGGGCTCAGCAGTAGCAGTCATTTTTCTCCTTCCTGGTAGCTGGTGCAGTGCTGTGTTTTTCACTTTCAGCCTGGGAACAATGCTGATAACACACCAATGTTTGTAGTTGTTGCTCAGTAGTGCTTACCCCAGTCAAGGACTTTTCAGTCTCTCATGCTCTGCCAGAAGGCCGGATCACTGCTCAGGTCAGGCTGGGCGAGCAATTGTATTGTGCATCACTGCCGCTTATTGTTTTCTTTTCCCCTTTCAGTTTCATATTCTCATTTCCCTTATCATTATTGGTGGTAGCAGCAGTGATTTGTGTTATACCTTACTTACTGAACTGCTCTTATCTCAAACCGTGGGAGCTGCATTCTTTCGATTCTCCTCCCTGGGGAGTAGGGGGAGCAAGGGGGGAGTCAGTAAGCAGCTGTATGGTTCTGAGCCATGGTAATGAAGGTCTACATGCCTTGCTATCTGTGAGTTTTCCTACACTCAGCAGGGAAAAAAAAGAAAACCCCAAACCTGCAGTTACTTGATTTATAAAACTTATTCCAGAGAGCCTGTTTTCTTTGAAAAGCAGCAGCAAGATACCCTCAAAATGAGCAGTTTCCAAGTGCACTCATGTAAGCCACCTGGTCCAACAGGCCACATACATTCAAGTTCTCACTGAATGGAGAACTAGTTTCCAATCCGTAAGTTACTTTCTCGCTTCAGCTTCCCCATTAGATGTCTTCTCCCTAACACAGTTAGATGGGGAATGATGCTTTCTGTCAGGTGCAGGGGGTATCTCTACTTCAGTCATGTACACAGATCACTTAAATTGCTCTGCAGTACATACAGACAAGGAGTGCTTTTATAACAAGCAAGATGAGGTCAGTACGTGTGTGTGTCTGCTGGACTCCTTCACAAGAAAACCACTCCTCCTGCAGAGGAGGACGAACAGCTACTTCCCCAGTTCCCACCCTCTTCTAGAAACACAGTATTCCTCATGCAAGAGCCAAGTGGGGCAGTTTATACAGAATAGCCACGGCAAGAAGCAGCTGTTAAGACAAAAAAATGACACCCGCTATAGGACTAAAACCATTCAAAATAACTTTATAAATTGTCACATTTCTGCTCTGTACATCAGTTCAACCTCGTCCCTTCAGCGTGCTACTGAAAATTCACAATGCTTCGTTTCTGTTTATTTTTCTCCTGAAAGGCATACACAAAACCAGCCGTCAGTGCATTATTTACAGAAGTGCAATGCAGTCTCCCACCCCGAAACTCAACTTTTCACTAACAAGATGCTTCCAACAGAACGTAAATAAACACCACAGCTTGAGCAGTGTTTCTGAAGTCAGTTTATAAAGGTTAACTCATTTCCGCAATCCCAAAGTGACAGAGCGAGTAAAGCTTCGCTCACCATCAAACAGGGATAAAAATACAACATTTCAAGTATTAAATCAGAAGTTTCTAAAGACAATCTGTATTTCGATAAATAAACACAAGGAAACAGTATACAGCTCTCAATATACTGTATATGAAAAGTGGTGTCCAGATTCAAACTTCTAGCAAGACAGGTACACAGCCTAAAAATGTGATCAAAGTAACCCTGAAAACTGTAGCAATCCGGGAGTTCCAAACACTAATCTCTTCTGTGTTCCCCCTGGAATTACTCTGCTGGTCTGACACATTTGATTGTTACTTAGTTCTACAACTGTAGGTAATCAAGGAAAAGAAAACCCAACCCCAAACCCCAAACCCGAGTTCATTCCCACATGGAAACAATTCAGAAGAAGGTTCCACAGATAAGTCTTATTATGATCTTGCTTCTCTGCACTTTGTTTTCAATGAGATGCAACTGCAGAGCTATTATCCTCTCTGGCATAGTGTTCACAGTCAAAGTTCAATCCAAGCTTGTGCTGGCTGTGGCTTGCTCTAAGTTTTCCACTTCTTGTGTATCGTCACCATCAGATTTCTTATGTTTCCTCATATGTTTGTATTTTTCCACATATGCCTTCACCAGATTAGCCACCTTCATAGGGTTGATCTCTCCACTTTTGCTGTGGCAGATCTACAAGGGATCAGAAAAGGCATTAGGTCAATTACGGCAGTAATACAGCATTACTGCAGTTCAGGCAGGCAACAAATGACAGAGAAGCCCTAAGCTTCCCAGGGGAATCGATTCCTGCTTCGGCCCTCAAGTCTCATAGCAGAATACACAAAGCAAAACACTCGATGAGGGTAAGAGTAGTATTTTACTTCAAGCATTCAAAAAATGGTCCAGTTTATCTACTGAGCACCAACTGAATGAATGAAGCAGCATGTCTGAAAGGAGATTTTTACTACAAGCTCTTCTGCCCAGCCAGTTTTACACAATCCATGGAAACCAAGGAAGTGTTGGTTTTCAACTTTTCTGATGGTTTTGAGGAAGTGATGCTTAGATTGAAAGAATCCGGCAGTTTTAAGGGCTCATTTTGAGATATGGGGGAAAGAGAACAGACCCTACAGAGAACTTTACCAGTGTTCAGAAATAAGTTCACAGTGACTTCAGCAGCAATTGGTGCTGCACAGCTCTCCTACAAACCACATTTGAAGCTCATATGGGTCACCTAGAAGATGCGAAATTGCAGCCACTATTTCAGGAATTTTGATTTATGATGGAATTTCTCAGTGATACTGACCTAAGTTCGTAATGAGAGTGATGTGACCCAAGGAACGTACCATTTAACATTTCAGCTCGGCCAGTTTAAGCTTAGCAATATTCCAGACCACTGAAAACACAATCTTCTAAAAGGAACAGTCTGACAGCTCTGATCAATGGCACTACTCAGCCCTGCTAAAAAGCAACTACCACTTTACCACAGGACTGCAGAGTATGAGTCCAAAGATGTGCTACTCAGTTACAGCATTTTATTGTTGAAGCTGGCAAATGCAATCTTAAGTGTGTTTATTGAACAATCTGCACAGCTCCTCCTCCCCCTTTCACCGGCACCTTACCTTTTGTACTGCTTTTCGAAGAATGCTCTTGTACTCCTCCTTTGTAATCTCCCTCTTCTGGTAAAAAGGTTTAATAGCAAGTTTCACTTCTTCCACAGCCCTTTCCTGCATGTGAAGCTTCTTCATATACTGCACAGTAAAGAGAAGTTTATTAACTTGTGCTATCTTGGGAACAGTTTCTGAACTTATTTTTCTTAGAAATGCTCTAAGAATGGAAATACTCATTTCACAGTTTCAATGACCCAAGTAAGAGCCAGCCTCAAATGATTTCCCTTCCTGCAAATTGCAGTCTTGAAACAAATACTAATTCATGCTACAAGGAACCCTTGCTTTATGTAACATTGTTCTATGCCTTAGAGGATGTGCTTTAAACAAGTGACTACAGTGCCCACTTACTAATTTTGGTCTCCTCCTTCTCTTCCAATAGCTGTGAAGTAAACATACATCCATCAAGAGGCATCAGATTCTAAAAGCAGCAAGACATAGCTGAGAATATAAAGATTCAGGTAGCTCTAAAAGCATCCTGAAAACTAGAGTTGTCTATAAATTAAGGATTACAGATGACATCAGAACATATTCCACCAAGACAAGTTCATAAAAACTGCTGCTCATAAATGGAGGTTCAGTGGGAAAAGTATCTTACTGTTTTCTGGTAGAAAGTAAAATAATTGGCCAAGAAAGTTTTTGTTCTTGTGTTAACATCCGCTGTGCTTAAGCAGATGGTCTCTACAGCAAACCCAAAACTTAGCAGCAAGTGAATACTACTGCAAAGTCTCCAAAGTATTTTACTATACCTGCACTTTCAGTGCTGATTAATTAGCAAGATACAGTCCTACCTCCCTGTAGGACTGTTCTGAGAATTGACATTAACTTCAAAGCTGGAGGGGAGAGGAGAAAACCAGGTGTCTGAGAAAAATCCGGACATTCTGACTTCTGGAAAAGTCCCTTCCAAACAGTCACGCAGGAAAGTTTCAGAATGTTAATAATGTATTTTAGATGCCTTAATCCCTCTGTCTTATTGTGATGAAGCAGTAGAAAGTGGAATCATCAAATGGAATAAATTGCAAAAGAAATCAAAGAAAAGATTGCCTGCAACTACTGGGTTAGCAGAGTCAGTCACCAAAACCAACAGTGACAAGAGGTTCTGGGAAAACAGAACACAAAGACAGCTAAACCCCCCAAACAGCTCATTAATGCTATGCATTTGCCACTTGGTAGCATTCACTCACTTCCTCATTTTTTGTTTTATCCACAGGAGGTTTAGGTGCGTTGACATCTTCTTCTGCATTTCCAACAGAAGCAGCTGGGATTCCTGGTTCAGATGCAGTTGCCAGGCTGCCTGGCTCTGGAGTCAGGCTCTGTCCTGCCATGCAGACAAGTGCTGGGAGACTACCTTGCATGATAAATTGAACTGTGGGCTGGCTGACAGGGGCATAAGGGGGAAGGCTGGAGGGCAGAGGTGGAGTCAAAGGTGTATTTTGACAGTACACCTGTGAAACAGATATAATTCTGTAAATGCTTGTACTTACAAGACAGAGCATCATGAGACCATGATTTTCAGAGCACGCCTTTTATCCACTGAGATAAGTAATTACTAGCTTAAATCAGGGAGGCTAACATCCTAGGTCTCTATGCACCAGGAGCTAACACCAGCCCCACTCACCTTTTACACGTTGTGAACAGCACAGTCTGATGGCAAGGACCAATGCCACCATGCCAATTTTTTACAGCCTGATCACAATTCAGGGAGAAGCTCACAGCTTCTCAAACAGCACCACCTTTCCACAAGTTGCCAGTGAAAACAGAAGCTGCATCTATAATGCAGAATTAAATAAAACGTGCTCCTTCAACAGTAAGGACCACCTGAGAGACTGAATGATGGCTGAGGTGTATGGGCTATATGAAATGTACCATACGCAGAGGAAGGCGAACCCTGCCATGAGAGGAGGGTGGTGCACAACAAGGGCACAGATGAGGTGGGATGCCTTCCATGACACTTGGGTGCTGGAATAGGAACCAACCTGAGAGGAATCTAGGTCAGGAAACATAGGCTCAGGAATCATATAATTGGTTGGAGGAGGCTCATTTAACTGCACCTGATTTAATGTTTGGTTCAAGTCCTCTGCTTTCCAGGCCCCTTCTTTTGCTCGCTGAAGTTTGTAAAATGGCATCCCTAGGTTCCCAAGAGAAGGAAAGGAAAACATTTGAGAACATTTAAGAATAAAATAAACAGGTCAAAGATTTAAAGCCACTTATATTTTAATCCATTAAAATAAAAAGGATCTAACAACAAAGCTAGCTATAGAAGGGTTTTGTTTAGCAGTCATCAATGTTTTAAAGCTTCTGATAATAGAGGACTTGCCATTCTTGAGGCAATTGCTCTTTTCTGGGTTTCTGTATAAGCAATGAGAAGCACAAGAGCAATTCTGTCAGCAGATGTAGCAGAGGGTCCCAAGCCAAGCTGTTTCTTGCAGCTTTGGTTTAGCAGAGCTCAGAGGAGCAAGCTACAGAGATGTGTCATGTTCCTCAGTTCCCAGAAACCTTCATAAATTCTGAAGGCAAAACCACCGCTCTAGCTAACTGCAGAAAGGGTGGAACATGGGCTGCCACTTCAGAGATCTGGCTGCAATAGGTGCACAGCCCAACAAGGTGCTGTTGGCTCACTGAGCTGTGCTGACTGTATGTCCGCTCGAACTCACTAACACAACTCACCTCACTATTTCAGCAAGTGCAAATGAGAGACTGGAAACCACTGGAAACACCTCAGCTCACATGACAGAACTGTTACACTACAACCAGGCTTAGCTAGGAAACTTAGGGCACTGAAACCCTAAGCCATATACAGCCCACTTCAACAGCTGTTTGTTTTCCAAATGAGAGACTTACTTGGAACTTTTCCAGCAGACAATGTGCCGCCTTCTTCCTCTTGAAGATTCCAGGTAACTCTTTTTACTGGTGCTTTTGATTTCAGTGCAGGACCCTGAGGCACCACTTCCAATTCAGGCTTAGTGAAATTACCAGTTTTTTCACTTGACACAAGGCACTCATCTTTAAGCTCCCTCACACAATCTGTTAGTTTGCTTTTGGACGGGCTCTGAATAGGTGCAGCCTCAGCTGGAGCATGTATGATAACTTCCTTCTTTGGGGATGGTTCCATCAGAGATGGACATAATGCAGTATTTTCTATTTTAACTGTAATCTCAAGGTTTGTATTGTTACAGCTACCAAGTACTCCTGGATCACTGCCACTCATTAATTCTGTTTCAGCAAAAGAATCCACATTGCCAATTGGAGCACAAATGTTTGGGATCTCTGGCACAGGGAATTCAGTTTCATGGGTCACTTCCTGACAGATGGGCCCTACCTTTATTATTTCTTGGACCTCTCTGAGTTGAACTGGGGTCTCAGCTTGTACTTCCTCAAGTTTGACATTTGGTTGGATGGTTATGGAAAGCTCTTCTAGTACCAGCTCCTCCTTTGGCTCTTGTTTGAAGGAATGGGGTTGTTCCAGACAGCTGGACACATTTTCAAAGGGAGATTTTTGATCCCTTTCTGGTGGAGGAGGCAGTGATGTCTCTTTTGATTTGTGTTTTCTTTCTTTGGAGCGTGATCTTGATCGTGGTCTTTTTTCCTTTGATTTGCTGCTTTTGTGCTCCCGAGATCGAGATGTAGACCGAGATCGAGACCTCCATTTTCTCCTCTCCCGAGACCTGGATCTTGATCTCTTTCTGTCCCTTGACCTCATGCTACTATCTTTATCATACCTCTCATGGCTTTTGTCTCTTCTGTGTTTCTGCCTTTTAGTCCTCTCGATGCTATTTGATCGGGAATGTTCCCTCCGTCTTGATCTTGATCGAGACCGTCTTTTCTTTTTCCGATTTTCATAAAACTCAGAGGTACTTCCAGGACTACCTGAACGTGACCTAGATTTTCTTCTCTCCCTAGACCAAGCAGTTTTTGCCTTTTTATCCTTGGTTTTATCCTTCACTTTCTTTTTCTTAGATCGGTCGTGACTGCTAGAACGGTCCGTAGAAGACCTCCTGCTCTTGGGTTTTGGTGTTTGTGTTTTGCTACACTCTTCTCCACCTGACCAAGAGGCCGATCTGGAGCTTCGGTCCCTTGAGTGTGCCCTATCCCTAGACCCTGATCGGGATCTCCTAAGCTCTTTGACAAGTGCCTTTTTCCTTTTTAACTTCTTCTTGCTTTGGGAGCTGGAATTTGAACAGGACCTGGAACGTGATCGCCTCTCTGTCTGTTCTACCTTTTGGACATTCTGCTGCTCATCATTCTTTGAGGGACTATCTGGTTCTACTTTCACATTAATGTTAGGTCTAACCAATTCTTCAGCATTAAAGAACACATTAGGGCCCTCTCTCCTTTCCCCTTTTAAACACTCTGCATTAGAAATTTGCTTAACAGCAGATGAAGTGCAAGGACTGCTTAGAAAGTCTTCCTCATCCATACTGTCCCGCTCTTCTGTATCAGAGATTGGTTCTACAATCCTGCTTTCTACTGTCACATCATCATGAGACTCTGTGTTACTAGATGGTACATCAAAGTCAGCCCCAGATCCAAATACATTTTCTACCACGTAAGGGGTGAAACGACGGACAGTTTGAAACGTCTGAACTTTGGGATTTTCAATGGAAATAGTCCTGGTAATATTAGTTAGTGGAATCCCTGAGCCAAGCCTTTCAGGACTGCTGCTTGCTGAACTCGAGTCTGATCCTGTTGGCTCAAAGGGATCATATATCTCACTTTTGACCTGCTTTTTCTTAACTGAGAAGAGATGCAAAGGATTCTCTTTCTGTTGCACTTTGTCATCCACAGGGCGGAAGGTGTTACAAAATCCTGGGTTAGAGAGTCTGCTGGGATGCCCTGCGTTTCCAGGAATATTGATTTTAAAACTCTCAAAAGAGCTTGGGCCTTTGCTCCTTGAAGTGCCCAGTAGCAATGAACTACCAGGAGCACCTGTATTGGTAGAAAAAGACAACCCACTTGTACGCGCTTGTTGATGATATTCCTTGGCAGTTGACTTCTGACTTTCCACCCTGCTACCCTTTCCTGGCTGATTAGTGCTCTCTTTGCCAGTCAACTGGGTTATACAGGAGCTGGGGATGTCACAGCTTTGGCTTCCTGCAGGTTCTGCCTCCACCTGCTTGCTGCTGGTTTCCTTTTTAATCTTTGGTATCCTGGGAAGCTCAAAGATGTCAATTCTCTTGGAAGGTGGTTTTAATGGCTGCCTCACAGTTACAGCTTTTGAGGCAGAATTCAAATTACAGCTCAGGGGCTCTGAAGATGATGAGTCACTGGCTGCAAAGCTTTTAGAGTTTCCATTACATCTGGGCATTTCACCTAGCCTGGAGCCATGCCTGCTCAGAGCAGCCATGTTTTGAGTCTGAACAGATCTGGGTGTCATTGAATATTCTGATTTTACAGTTGCCTTTTCTGATGTGGCCTGTGCTGACTTTGCTGCAGGCTCAATCCTGCTCAGTGACGGTGAAGGCAATGAAAAGAAGCTTGAGGAGGAGGAAGAGGAGGAAGGTCTGGTCTGAGTACTCAGCCCTGAGGAAACTGAAGGTCCAGGAGTAGAGCTGCTTGCTGTGGTCCCTGAATGCACTGTACTTGATTGGCTGCTATGTCCTGAACTATCATGTGCTCTCGAGTCATTCGCCGATTTTCTATGAAGTGGAGCTATGACATACAAGCAAATAATTAAGCTTTTTACTACGTAACTGGACATTTTCCCACCAACATTAAAAGAAATACTGAGCTAACTATTCCATTTTAGTGTGCAGACATACCACAGAAATAAGTCAGTCCAACAGTTCTTTCGGTCAGATGCTCAAGGTTTAATGCCAGTCCACCTCATCTTTGAGGGAAACATTAATGTTTTGGAAATAAATTACTCTGTTGTGTAGCTATCACCAGATTCGTGTTTATTATCCTGTAGTTGCTGGTTGATAAGAATGACCGCAACAGACGCTGTTACAGGTACTTATTTTAAGAATAAAGCTCTAAGTTTCAATTTGAAGAGATTCTTTCCAAATAATAGCATGCCAAGGGAAGCTTGGAAGCTGGAGATACTAGCACATATTCCAGAGCTCTATTTTTGCAAAGAAACTTCATGTCAAGGTCCTCATGACTGTTCTTCAAACCAAAGTACAGTTCACTGGTATGGCAGTAATGCATGACAAACACCATAAAAATTGGGTACTAAGATACCTCTGCTCTATCCAGTCCTCCAGGTTTTATAACAAAGCATAAAACTATAGTGTAGCTCTTTTGAAAGAAGAAAACTACCTATTAAAGCCAAAATCATCCAGTAACATCTCAGCTCTGCAAGTAAGAGACAAGTAATATTATTTCAGAGCATATCTTAGAATCTTATTAGCTGGATTACTGCTGGCAACCACTGAATCTATCCTACATATTCAAATAAAAGCATCCTTATGTTTGAAACTACGCAGCCTCTAGGACCAGGGCAGACGCAGATGAAACAGAGAGGCCAACTGCACTGTGAAGTGCCAAACCCTTACCTGCCGACTTCTTCGCCGTCAGCGAACCATCTCTGTTGATGACCACATCCGAGCTACTCATCATGAGAAGGCTCTGTCCAGAAAGGATACTTCCCAACAAATCAGGCACAGGGGCAGCTTCTTCTTCTTGTTGTTGTTCAGGACTCACAGCAGGGACACTGTTTCTGCATGTTTCAGAGGGGTTATATTTCCTTTACTCTTACAGCACTTGATCTATACACACACATTACATTCAAAAGAAACCAAAATCAAGGGCATAAACAGAGGTCAGCCAGGGAAGTTTGCCACTTTTTTTGGCTTCACTATAGTCATTCAGCCTTCATCTCCTTCTGACAAACAGCAGGTGAGGCTTTCACTGACTTCCCACAGGAACACCACAAGATAGGAAATCATGTAACCATATCAGAAACCTTTGGTAAGTAAATGCTTTTGATCTTATATAAGAGTGGTGCTGTCGGCGTTGTGTATCAAGGTTAACTTTCCAGTGCATTTAAGATGCATTTCTGAAGTGTAAACCGCTGTTCATCACTTCAGAGATACTTCTGTCCCAGCTGCCTCTCCTATCCCCACCAAATCACAATCACAAGTGTACTCCTCAGGCTTACAGCACTATCTAAAAACAACTGATGCAGCTTAAACCAGGGTTTAGCACTAGTCAGAATACACGTAGGTGACTACTGGTAGGCCAGCTAAGAGCATTGCATAGGAAGAGCTACACTGAAAAACAACAGCAATGCTCCCACACACAGGGCAACACAAACACATGGTGTTGGGGTGTGGCTGTTTTGTTTTGGTTTTTTGGTGGGATTTTGGGGGCTGTTTCGTTTGGGTAAAAAAAAAAAAAAAAAAAAAAAAAAACCCCAAACTTCCAAAAGGACCAAGAGCCTCAGCTCTCTGAAGGAGCTGCATTTCATTTCTGTATAACAACAAACCGAAATTTCCAAACAATGTACACCAAAAACCTGTCATAAGATACAACAGAAAGGCAAATGAGAACGCTAAAGGAACTGGCTGCCCAGACCAGGCCACTAAACTCTTTGTAAAGCAGGCAAACCAAGCCTATAGAAAAGCTGCATTTCAGCTAAACAGTTCTACCTTCTACACAATGTACTACTCAAATAATACTATCTTAATCCTGAGAAACCAACCTTCACTATAAGTCAGACGCATCAGAGAGCAGCCATGTAAACCTCTCACATCTTTAATCATTTAAGCTGAGCTCCCCCTGTTTCTCCTAGTCTTCAGTTCCCCCAGCCTTGCAGTACTCCGATTCGGGTGGTACCTGCCTCAGTCATTTTTCCCATCCCTCTTCTTCCCATCATGCTCCTGCTCCCTGTGTCCTACCCCTCTGCCCTATGTCCTTCACCCCATTCCTGAAAACCCATTGTGGCTGTCAGTGGGAGGCACCCAGCAACACTCCCTTGCCAGCACAGCAAAGTAACTGTTAAATTGCAGGATCAAACAAATTGTTTCTCTCAGTTTTCTGAGCTCCAACAAATGGCAGAGGAATTGGCTTATATCCTACATCTCTTCTGAATGTGCAATTAGATTTGTAGCCCTCTTAAATAACCAAGAGGGTTTTTAAAGGTTAATGAGACTGAGGTTTAAAACATACTAATGGGATTACTAAACAATCCCAATTACTTTGGGATTACTAAACAATCCCAAAACAGAAAGCAAGAAAAGTCAGGTTAGGGTAGAAATACCAATGTGAAATTGCAATACAATAGTTAGAGCTATTATGAGAGACAGAGCATGTGTCCTTCAACATTAAAAAAACACTGTGGTTATTTTTCTATGCATGAGCATGCACATATGCACACACACTCTTCTCAAAATACTCAAAATAAGAAAAGAATTAAACAGGATGATCAGTTTGCCCTTTTGTTAAGGGTCATTAGTTAATTAAGGAAAATAAGTAACTTGATGGTTTTTTACCTGGGAAGTCCCACTGAAATAGGTCTAGCTACAGGACGGTGAGACCTCAGTGCTGACTGGGAGAGAACTCTCCTTTTGGCACTCACTGGTGAATCTGGATTTGCTGGAGCCTCTTCACTACTGTAGGTAAGATACATACACACACAAACTCTGAAACTGGCTGAATGTTTTTCATGCCAAATGGATGAAGTAGATAATACTACTACTTCAGATACGAAGTTTGAGATTGTCATCTATTATTATTACAAAATATTTGTGCAATGTATTTATTTTCTGTAGAAAACTATATTTCACCAACAATAATTTCAGATGTCCATGCACCCTCCCCCTCCACCCCCCACCCCCCCAAAACCCAAAGCTTAAGAATGACACAAACTATGGTATAGTAAGATTCCTCCTGAATTTAAACTGTCTGGAAAAGCGAAGATGAGAAAAGTAGAAACGTGGAGGATTCTACGGGTCCATGTAATTCTATGTGAAGTCACTTTTTATTGTATACCAAATACACTAGCTATGTTCACTTAAAATAAATAAATAGCAACTGACTGATTAGGATCTGACTTCTTCAAATTCTAGCCTTTGAATAACCCCACAGATCTTGTTAAAGGTTTTCAAGAGGATTATTTTTTCGGCAAACCTCTTTAAAGGCAGCTGATTCTTTAAAAGCTCAGAAACCCAGCCAAGAAGAAAGGAACAGGACAACACACTGCTATGAGCTGTGTATCCAAAGCTGTCTTCAGATGCAAGATCTACACTCTGCAGGAAGTCGTGTACAAACAACCCAACACTTATGAAATATTAGGTCCCTAATCATAATCCAGAGGTATCTTACCTTTCATAAGGATCCAGCTCGTATGGATCTCCAAACACAGATAGAGAAGCTGCACCGATATCTGCTCTCATCAGGCCAAGTGAGGGCTCTGCTGGTTTGGACATGGAAGGAAGTGAGGCCCCACGCACAGGTTTACTAAGACCAAGAGTTCTCGCAATACGGGAGCGAGTAGTAACCTCATTTTTCACCTGCACAGATAAAGAGACTGGGTTATTTGCATGTCCAGGCAGGTATGTACCGTTATTAAAGCCCCGGGTTCTTCACTTAAGCCAAATACAGTCATCAGGTTACTACTGCTGGTAGCAGCAGCAGTGTGCAGTTATTGTCTATATTTGTTTTAAAGCATTTATGAAACTTCTAACTATGGCCTGTATGTCACTTCAAACAGAGACTGCATGTCTCTCTTTAAGTGACCAGGTAAGTTTCTAAAACATCTTTAATAATGTAATTCAAAATTGTTAACTCCTTATTAAAGACTGAAGGGACAGTTCTGGCTGTAGGATGTAAACTCTAGTTAAGGTAGCTGAGGACAAAAGTGAAGCTGGTGCAGAGCATTCAGTATAGTTCATGCGAGAACATTATCCACGACTGAAAGAGATTTTGAAAGCCCTTACAGTCGATTAACTGGGTTTGCAACGACACTAACATCCACAGTCTACTGAAAAGAATAGGTGGTGGCAATTCTAACTTAGTTTGCATCAGTACCAAGTGAACACTACAGCTGAATGGCAAGGCATAATACAAACCCTGCAGGACGTGCTTTACAGTATGATCCCTGCAGTTCAGGTAACGGGATTTGTCAGCAAACTCAGCAGGCCTGCCTGGAAGTTGCAATTCACTTCCATGTACAGGATCTTTCTCCAGGACACTGGACACATCCTGCACATACTCCCCACCAGAAATAAGTTAGCAGCTATCATTACAAAGCAATTATTTTTTTCCACTGAATCCCCCATTATAGTGTTTTTACAGATAGCTGAAAAATGGCAGATGCTGACACTGGCAGAAACTCACACGTGATCTTACTCTCATCTTTTTCCCCCTTCTCTTCTTTATGAGAATCTTGCGTCTCTTCAGCTGTGCCCCTGAACTCTTCTTCCCAGCAGAAGATTTTGTCTGAGTTCTTTTTTTGCCTCTTACTCTCTTCCTCCTACCTGATGGGACAAAAGACAACCAAGTATCTGGCTAAGTGCTGGCACTGAATTTTACCTTGTATTCCTCTTTTCACCTTCCGATGGTATTCAAAGCAGCTGTCCTACAGTGTGTTGCAACATTATAAAACAGCAGGACAGAAAGAGTGAAATCACTAAGATTTATGCAAAAGCAACCATCAAGACACTTCTGGGAAGACGTGGGATAGGGAAAGAAGAAAATACGTGTGGTATACTTCTGTAGCTGCAGAGGTCTGGCAGCATACAGCTCATCTAGAGTATTTTGTGTGATTTGGGCTCATCTACCCGAAGATTTTATTATTGCAGATGAGAACCACAGAAGGTGTCCAATGCCCTTACCTGTTTTCCTTTTCTGCCTAGTAGAGGCTGGTGTAGGAGCCGGTGCAGGAGCCGGTGCAGGAGCCGGTGCAGGAGCTGCTGCAAGAGCTGCTGCAAGAGCCAGTGCAGAGAATGGTGCAGGGAGTGGATCAGGAACTGGTGGAGGGAGCGGTGTAACAGGACGCTCATACATGGCTGTGTTTATGCCTGAAATAACTGCCTCGATTGTTTCATCCAGAAGAGAGGGCATGAGGTACCCTGGCACATTCTGTGTGGAGGATTGGAAGTTAATTGATACAAGTATTTAAAGGTCAGCAACAAGTTATTCATAAAAGCATTCAATGAAAAAAATAAAAATAAAAAAAGGATTTGAGATTCAAATGAGAAGCACTTTTGTCACCAAGCTGCCAGTTGAACAATTATGTCACCTTTCTCACCTATTGATTATAATATTACGGAGAACATGGGCTCAGATTTAAACAGGGGCAATTTAGGTTAAATATAAGAAAGAAATTCTTTACTGTGAGAGTAGTAAGGCACTGGAACCGCCCAAGGAGGCTGTGAATGTTCCACCCCTGGCAGTGCTCACGGCCAGACTGGACAGAGCCTTGAGCAACCTGGTCTAGTGGGAGGTGTCACTGCCCATGGCAGGGGAGTTGGAACTAGATGATCTTAAGGTCCTCTCCAACCCAAATCATTTTAGGATCCTATGATTGTTTTCTAGAAGGAATTTGCTAGAATTTTCCTTAAGTCAGATCCTACTCTTCCTTTCAAAAGTTGTAGAATTTCACATTTCTACCAAATTCAACAGCAGCATGAATAAAGAACCAATCAACGTTACTAGTCACATGAAGGTTATTTACAGGCTCTGCTTCCACACTAAACCACCATGTGCTCCTCTGCAATTTAAAGCCTTTTATACTTATGCAAGTGATGAGTAGAGTGCTTTGGCTAAAGACAGAGGGCAAAGCAGGCTGGAGATCCCAAAGTTTGAAAGTGCTTGTAGCATACTAGTTACCTAAGGGACTGTAATTATCCCTGCCAAAAGAAACATCCAGAAACAGCTGCAGAAATTTTCAGTGAAATCAAGTAGTAAAGGATTTGAGGGACCTTGGGTATTTAGGATAATTTCTTGCATATATTCTCTGGAGCCTATTAATGTGGTTGAACTCACACTGTTACACCACTGAGGACGCTAACATCTGGGCTTTTTCTCTTCAGTAACAGGCTGATTTTCACAAACACAGAAACCTTAAAAACACTGATATTTTTTTCTTCGGTTTGGCTGGTGATGGTCAACAGGTTCTACTGCTATGGGAAAGCAGGTAGGACAACACACAAGCCAATGCACAGAAGTCAAATAAACATGCCCTGTCTCCACCAAAAAAACATGTTAAAAAACCCCAGAAGTGGTGTACAAACTGTGCATAACAGCCACTGGGAATAAAAATACAATTTTGCTCATACCCGAGGTGATAAAAATGCAGATTAAGAGGAAGCTACTGCAGATTTCAACATAAAGAGTTCTGGTCATGTGCTGCATTCAACTTGCACATGTTCTACATTTCAGTTTAAAAAGAACTCTGCAACTACTAGCTATTGTGCTTTGCACAACACAGACAGCTGGGCTACTTAAGAGGGGACTCATTTCAACTCTCCCACAAGGTTCTTCCAGAATACCTGAATTTGCTGGGCTGTTGTTATCCGGTTTCTGTTCACTGTTGCCCTAACTCGTTCGCTCTGCCGAGTTCTAGCGATAGCTCGGGTTCGGGCCTGGGGGCGCAGCCTGCTGGTGGTAGGAGTAACATCAGCCATGATGGCAGCAACCTCATCATCACTGACTTGATCTGTGTCTTGGAAGAAAAGATGCCATGTCACTTGTCTTTCAAGAATCGAGCAGTATTCCTTTTCTTAAACCAATCACCTCCAAAGGCAGCCATTATCCTCTCAAAAGGAAACTAGCACAGACATGGCTGCTTAAGACTGTTGCAGAGAGAGAAAGACAATTTTCGAGGTGACAGAATTTGCTGCTACCTTGCCAATCTGAGGTGAGGATACTAACAAAGTCTTTCCAGTGTAATACAATGCCGTTGCACTAAGGTGCTGGGGTTGCCTCATGAAGGTTAAAGAATGCATACACTTCCCAGGTTGTAACTGCAAATGAAAATGTCAATAAAGAAGATCCTCTTATCAGTCAAGAGTTCAAGTCAACTTTTGAACCTAAACAGAGAATACCTATCAAAACTATTATTTAAAATAGATAAAACCACAGGTAAAACAGCTCTTCAAAACAGCGCATGCTTCATATCATCTAACTCGGGAGAAAAACATTTACTTTGACCAGATATCACAAAACCCTTACCTGCAGCAGCACTGACACCCATGGGGGCACAGGCTGGACAGAACCATTCATCTACAGGAATTTCACTCAGAGGTGGACTAAGGCATTCCATGTGATACCTCAAGGGGGGATAAAAAACAACACAGAAGTAAAATAAAAATCAGAGAATGTGCTCCTTTCCAAGGGAAGAGAGCCTTTTACTTCTATCCACACACACTGCATAAGGCAGCCATATTTTCTGAAGTTTGAAACTATGGTCTACCCATCTGCTTCTACCAACCTCCAGAGAAACGATGCTACCTGATAGCTATATAAAGATCTTCAATTCTGGGTGACATTTTGATCAATAAAGCTCAGAAAAATGAGCATATTTCCCCTCGCTGTTTGGTGTATTGCTTGCCATTTGAACCCAAGCTGCAAGAAACGTGCAGAGACAAAATTGACGGTGACAAAGAGAAAGGAGAGATGTACTGAGGTGCTGGGGAGACAGAAAATCAGGAAACAACATCAGTTCCTGCAAACCAATATAGCATTAACCTCACTGGTACTTATGAGTATTTTATTTTGCATGACTAGACACGGGTTGAGTGCAAAGCCTTGTTACATTGAATAAATGCATTGTATCACACATACACCTGGCATAATGAAGACAACTGGTGATAAGGACGTCTGTGTAACCGCACAAGCCAGGCTGTAGAGCTTTAGTCAGACACTGGCTTCATACAGCTGCTTGCAGGACTGAAGACTAACCACACTGACTTCCACACACCACCTGAGATATGTGCTTGTCCTTATCACACCTCAAAGGGAAAGAAGATGGTATGATGCTCCCTGAGGCTGGCCTTTTTGCAGTGTTTTATATCCAAAAAGCTAAGTGGCTAGACTAACAGTCTCACCAACCACTTACAGAGAAGCTACCCAGGAAAGCCTCTCAACATTACCTGACTTCAGTGCTTTAATTTGTTTTCAGCAATCAAAGCCTAGCCAAAGCAATATGTATTAGTAGCACAGAAGTTTTAAAACAACTCATGTTCCTGCTAAAAATAATTAGAACAGATTCTCCACGTCAATGAGATGAAAACCAAGTGCTCAGACCAAGTTCCCAAGGCAAGGAACATAGAGAGACCACAGCCTTAAGTAAGTTTCAGCTTCAAATTAGCAACCTTTTCTGTGACCAACTTTGTTTTTTCTTCTAAAAAAGGAAACCCTACTGTTATTCCTGATGTAGTATAGTATCTAACGCTGATATAAGGAAAAACAGTAAAGCTCTACGTTTCACTTTCACATGCCAAAATCCACTGTCTGATAATATATCCCAGTGCTGGCCACAGAGAAAAGAAAGGGAAGGAACATCCATCTGACACTCTAATACAATTTTACAGCAATACAAAAGAAAAACCTACACAGAGAGACTACAGCTGTTAACCTACTTTCCAACCATCACCCCAACTTCAGATTGTCTTCCAAACCTGTACCCAACCGTGTTGTGATAACATTGGTGAAGCTGCAATTTAAGTTTATGTTTACACTAAAATAGACTGTCAATATAAAAAAATGGAGTATCACGTTCTTCTCACATGAAGATACGCAGATTAGGTTTTACACTCTTTCTGAGACTTGAAATGAGGTTTAACAATTATGTTTGCAACAGATCATTACTTTAAAATTAGGGCAGTAAAGTATTTTCCTTCTCTGGGCAAAGACAGTTTATTTTCCAACTGCCAGCTACCAGGAATGAGATCATTTCTCCACAGTAGTATTCTGACAAGGAATATTGTTAGATTCAGGCCAAAGTCATAATAAAGATGCTTGTAGCAACAACTTAATCATGTACTTTTCAAATGACCTCTGGGAGTTCTGATGTCATGTTATGACCCACTTGACAAGCAAGGACTTTCAGCACTAAAACTCTGGACACTGGAGAGCCTATTGCAACAGCTATCCAGAGTTATGTGCACAGCAAAGGAACCTCATCACACAGAAAATCATCCTAACAAAACTCAGTGCCAGATCTTATGGAAGGATAAGGTGATACTTGTTTGTTGGTTGTTCAGTTTTGGGGTTTTGTTTAAAGAAAGAAAAAAAACAACCCAAAAGAACCCAACAGTCGAAGTAAACTGATTTTACTCACACTCATTCCCTTAGGTTCATTTACTTGTGCTCTTGCACTCACCCATTTGGAAGCACAAAGACTGTGTAACTAAGTGGTCTGGCCAGGATTATTTGTGGGGGCAAGAGACACTGGCCCTCAAGATGTCTCTTGGGCTTTGTGACTGGCAATGAAGTCCAATGGATTTCAAACTTTTCCTGTATCTTTAAGTTATGAGCAGATGCTTCCAGGGAGGAACAGGGGAACTACTGTATCTGAAGCAATAGCTTGGGTTGAAATAAGGCTTATGAATGTCCAGAAAGACCTGAAATACATGACTTCAGATAAGACCTATGAAACACTGGTTTTGGTTAAGTACTTTAAATTCAGTGTTCTCATGACATGCCTAACAATATTTAGCATTCCTGATTTTGCCTCTTCTCCCAAAGGTGAATCAGAGTATATAGACTCCAAAGAATACAAGGACAGAACTAGACTTACCAAATCTCTAGTTAGTTTGCTAGAGTATTTTTTTTAAATTACTCTGTGTTCCTTGCAAGCAAGTATCTTTCTTTGTTCAATGGGTAACTTCTGACATCACGAAACTGACAATGCTGCAATAGTGATAGTCTGAAGACTGTAGGCCTGAAGTTGCATTCAAGTATCTTGATGCTTCTACTTAGATATTTATTTTACTTATCAAGGAGGGGAAAAAAACATGTTTGGCAGAGACAGAAGTAAGCAAGAGTAAGGATGTTATTTAATAACTATGGCTATAGAGAAAAGACCTCAAAATTTCATGACACTGTGAATCTTAAGAACTTCTATTGCACAGCACTAGTGCCCAATCAGCTGGGATAAATCATGCACCCTTTCAAAAAGACAAAGGATACATGTTTTTACCCTCCAGGCACCCAGATTTTTGTGTTCATCCATGCAACATCTTCATCACTTGAAGGTATGGTCACCTGTTTCAGTGGCCTGATGTGTGCAGGACTCTCCACACATATGCTGCTAGATGACCAGAAAAGGATTCATCACATCATGGGGATGTTTGCACTGTAAGCATATGGATACAAGTCTGGACACACAATGAGCTTCAAGAAACCAGCAAGGGACAGCCTACATCTCAGACAGTACCTGCAGACCAAACACCAGCCACCCCTGCAGTGCCATCTGCAATCACGCAGGTGCTACATTCGTTTCAACCTTTCTTACCCTGCATCACAGCCATCACACAGCAGCAGGCGATCTTCACGGTCACTTCTGCCACATACCTCACAGAAGGTTGGGTCATCCTCTCCATAATTACCCTGAATAATTGTGTTCTCAACAGGAATCTAAATAAAAGAGGGATTCACATTTTATGCAGAACATACAACTTTTTAAAACATAGTCACATTACTGGTACCTGCAGCAAAATCTAAAAGTGAATGAACCAAAACGGCTGGTACGTACTCGAACCTTCATTTAGTTCATTCAACCCACACAGGACACGATCAAATGCTTGAAAACATCTATCTGAACTTGCTTACTGGCAGATACCAACCGCATTTCAAGAACAGGCAAAAAACAAAGTTCCTGATATCAAAAGTAGTCAAACAAACTAAAAATAAAAGAGAGCAAGCTTAGCTTTTTTCCTCTTTAAACGTATGATTTAAATATTAATTTGCACCTCTGTTAAAACACATTTAATAATAAACCACCACTTTATGAAAACAGAGCAAAAAGCTCATAAATGTCCCTTGAAAACCAACATGCTCCTGATACTAAGAGCAGTAACAACTCTCAATATTCATTTGTGAGAGACTATTAGCACCTCAATCTGTGCCTTTAAGAGCTCTCCTATTGCCTTCTGTCTCTTTCCCCTTCCAAGCCCAAATGATACACAGTATAGCTGGCAGCAAGACATAAGAAAAAGATCATGCATAACCTTAATTATTCCTATTCATATTACAGCAGCACTTGCAGTATAAAGGGCATTTTCCCCACAGAAACAGGATTATCAATGCGTAACAGCTTAAGAGTCAAACGTCCATTATGCAAAAGAAGCAGCTATGAAAATCACCCTTTCTGCCATCAGACATGATGCCACACTTCAATCCACAAGCAGCACTGCAGGAAACGTGTTTAGGGAAGAAGAAAAATTGTAACAGCTCCTTAAAAGGCAATCTCAAAATAGGAAAGAAATAACATACATCCAGACAGCAAATATCAGATAAACATGCTAGAAATTTAAACCTTTAAGCAGATATTTCACAGCAACTGACTCTGTTGTTCGCTAGAGCAGAAAGCTTACCTTTTTTAAGATTTCACCACCAAAATGTGCCCGAATGTTAATGTTCATAAAGAGGATTCGATCCACTGGACAGGAGTTTGCATTCTAGAAAGATTAAAAAAACCAAATCCCTATACAGTTAATAAGCACATCTCTTGATTCAATTTTTAAAAGGACATCTTCAATTATTAATGCAATAAACATTAATGTAGTACTCATTTTAACAGCTACTGGGCTTGACCTTTTAAGTACTTAAATCCAACTTATCTATTTTACAATCAACCTATTGCATCAGAGAAAACATGCATTTTCAGAAAAGCATTTATAATACCAAAGTCATTTAATTATTATTCAATTGCCAGAGTAACACTGAAGTTCTTCTAGATATTGCCTAGAAATACTGCTCATATATTAGGGCATTTTCTTTCTTTTGGACGAATAGGCAAGTGGGAATGGCTTACAAATATACTCATTAACAGCGACTTTTTTGTTTATTTAAGTAATTAATTACCACTGGTACTGCTGTGTGCACAGGAAATTTTGTTGTAAATCTCACACTGGTTTATAATTACAGGAATTACACAGTTGGGTTGCAAGGAACTCTAGCTGACAACTGAATTCAGAGCAAACTGCTGATTTAGTATTCTCTTACATCTTTCCTATGTTTAACTATTCACTGTTGCAACAGACACCCCCCCCCATCCAACAGTCAAAACATAGAATTCAACAAGAGATACACAGAGAAATACACAGAAAAACAGTATTACTGATGTTTTGACTTGAAAAAATAATTTTAGATGGCCTAGAAACACACTTGTTTATGGCATTACAGCTTTCAGAAAACCCAACAGATCAGTATGGGTACAAAACAGATCCACACCTCACAAACATGAAACCTGCCAAACAGAGCAGTAACCCAAGTCTGTGTAAAAAAGTTTAAGAAATAACAGTGTTGTGTTCTCATTACAGCAAAACAGCATGATTAGAGGGGAAAGAGCAGTGCACACTGGAAGGCCACAGGACGTCAGGGACAAAACAGCTCACCTTAGACCACTCCACAATACAGTCCAAGCAGAAGTAATGGGAACAGTTCTCAGGAGTCCCAACAACCTGATCCCTAAACGTGTTGAGGCAAATGGGGCAGTGTTCACCATCCTCATCAGAAGAAACACTTGCTCCATTTATGCGTGGCTCTCCTTTCAGAGCATCAGTCGTTCCCTCCCCGCTGGCCTCAGTTTCTTCCTCTTCTTCCTCTTCTTCATCATCATCATCATCTTCACAATCTTAAAAAGTTAGAGATGAGAAACAGCTCTCATTGCTGCAGGGCTTCAGCAGCGAGGGCAGAGGGGGTAGGCAGGTACCAGTTCACAGAAAAATTCCAAGTAAGCTTATTTTATAGGGCTGCAAGGACAAAGCACAGCTTCCCAAGTTTGAGGCAATAATGTTTGCTGTTTTCTTTTTTCCTGAATCCCTTCACTAAAAAGCGATGGATTACTCTGGTGGAAAATAATGCCTGATAGCATGACTAGTCTTGCAAGAGATGAGAAGGACAGACAGCAGAAGAACAGGAGAGCAGGATATGTCAGGCTACCACTAAACACTAAAAAAATAAAAGTAATAAAGTTATCATATATGCAAGTTTCTGGTGGTTTTTGGTTTTGTTTTTTTTTTTTTAATGCACTACAGAGGAGAAGCAGCAGCAATACACTCACCTACAGAAAAACAGATTTGAGATTTCAGCAGTAAATCATAATTTTAAGAATCAAGAGATCTGGGGGCCCAGGTGGAGACCGCTTAAAGAAACTTGGGTTTGAATATAGTTAATTTTAAGCACTCAGCACACATTGCTGAAATGTGTTCATACTTTCAGTGTAAAATACAGAAGTGTCTGTTAGTCATTCCCTAAAACCTAAAAATTTGACATTTTCAAGAAGCAGTGAAAAGTTACCTAAACAAACAAACAAACAAACAAACAAACTAACTGTTTTTTTTGAGGGGTGCTGTTTTGTCTTTTTTGTCTTTTGTCTTATCCTGTTTGGACATAGCAGAAAATACTCTAAATGAAGGATTAATAAAGCTTTTTGGCACCTGGCATCCAGTTTTACTCTGTGTTCAAATCAGTCTTAACTACGAACTTGAAAAACTGTGCCCTTACCTTCCCATCAAGCTTTAAGACATGATAAAAACCTATTTTTGTCTATTCAAATAATAATTTGAGTGCAGCAGTTCCAGAAGTACATTATCTAGAAAGTACATTTTCAGTAAAATTAACAAATCCAGGTAACATCTACACGCCTTTTTCAAAGAAAATGTAGTCTTCTTCCCCCCTCCCTGCGCTTAAAACAAAACCAGTTTATTTCCAAAACTCCCCATCATTAACATTCACTTTAAAGCCCCATGCCAAAGCAAACAAACCTGCTTTTCATAAGTGGAAAAACAGCATCAGCTATTGCTGCAGTTCTGGCTTTTTTTTTTTTCCTACTCCTGCTGGGACAGAGTTCACTCCTACTGACTATAACTACATCACTTTGGCTAGCAGATAGTATTCAAATAGGAAAATGCTTTAAGAATTTAGAAACTGAGGAATATTACTTGTTCACTACTGCAGGCTTTAAGCATCAGCCTGACACAGCAGCATCTGTGGATTTATATTTAATGGTTAATTTTTGGAGGAAAAGTTTTCCTACCACTCTTCCTCCAGTTATTAAAAAGAAGGCTGTTAATGTGCATTAACAGACCTACCTTCTAGTTCTTCATCCTCACTTTCTCCCTTGTCCTCCTCGCCTCCCTCTTCCTCAGGGTCATCTTCTTCACTTCCAGTATCATCTTCTGAATCATCGCTATTTCCACCATTGCTTTCTTAAAAAGAAAAGAGAAGAAGAGAGGAAATACCTATTTGATGCAGACAGACAAAACAGTGAAGGTCACACCAGAACTCCTGCTCAGGATTTTATGCCAACAGTTTGAGATACAGAATTTAGGAAGCAAATCAAAACAATTCGCAGGGAAAAATAAATACATGGTCACTAATATATATTTACTTCTCTTTGGAGCTTAAGACAAATAGGTTCTCCAACCTAAAACTAGAAATGTGCTCATGTAGAGAGGCTGCATTTACCTGTTTCACTGAGGAGCGCAAGACTCTGTCTTTTGCTCTTGCCCAGTGCAGCATTCTTGTTTATCAGTTCATCCTGGCTGTCATCATCCATGGCAGGACATTGGAAACTGGCTCTCTGCAAGAAGGCAGACTTCAGTGAGGCAGTGCATCACCTACACAAGCAGAGCAGGCATCAGCCCAGCGAAGAGCACTGAATGCATCTGCAGAGATGTGAATGGTAGAGGGAACATTGCTCTACAGCAAAGGCTCCTCACACCACTGATCAGTTTTCCCAGTTTCAAGTCAGAAGTTACTACCAGTAAGCATTTATCATTACATGAAGTTTCACACCCCTACTGAGATAGATGAAGCCAGCTGCTTATGAAATTCAGTTAAGGTACAAGATTCAGCTTTATCTTGGGCTCCTGGATGACAGAAGTTATAAGCAGAAATCCCCTTTGAAAATAGGAATAGAAAACCTGCAAACACCAAAACCATCTATCCTGTGGACAACCAACAAAACACAGAACTGACAGGGATCAGAGGCCCTAACAAGATGACAATGTGTGTCAAATCAAAATACTGTTTTGCCCAATTGAAAAGAAACAAGAAAAATTATGTTCAGCTCAGGGGCCCCCACCATAAGGAGGACTTGGACCTGTTGGTTCATGTCCAGAGGAGGCCATGAAAATGCTCTGGGGGCTGAAGCTTCACTTCTATGGAGACAGGCTGAAAAAGCTGGGGTTGTACAGCCTGGAGAATTCTCCAGGAAGACCACAGAGCAGCCTTACAGTACCTAAAGGGGCTGACAAGAAAGCTGGAGAGGGACTTGTGACATAGGCCTGCAGGAAAAGGACAAGGGGGAATGGTTTTAAACTGACAGAGGACAGACTTAGATTAGGAAGGAGTTCTTCCCTGTGAGGGCAGTGAGGCACTGGCACAGGTTGCCCAGAGAAGCTGTGGCTGCCCCACCCCTGGCAGTGCTCAAGGCCAGACTGGATGAGGCTTTGAGCAACCTGGTCTAGTGGAAGGTGTCCCTACCCATGGCAGGGGGGTTGGAAGTTGGAACTGGATGATTTTTAAGGTCCCTTCCAACACAAAACATTCTATGATTCTATGAAAGATTACATATTTCAGATATTTTTTTTTAAAGGGCCTATTCACAGCTGTCATGAAACAGAGAAGTCTCAGATCTCACAACCATCATCCCACAGAAAGGAAAAGACTTGATTTGGTGCATATTAATGCAATCACATTAATTGCTGTGCATTAGCACAGACTGGCAATAAAACTGACAAATACTGAGAGATGCTTCATGATCTAAATTCATGATGGCAATTAAATCAGAGCTTTTAATACATAACACTACAAAGTGTTCAGACAGATTCCTGCAAGCTTCTATAAGCAAGTAATGGAAAAAATATAACTAGCTAACACTTATAAAGCTAGATACCAGATCTCAATACAAGAAAAAAACCCCTGGATTCTCCAACAAGCACAGCACAGAAGTTTCAATCAGGTGCTCTTCTCGCTCAGCATTACACATCTTGCATATTAAGAGAACTTTGGAACAAAATGTTATGTTTTATTCAAGTGCTCTTGATCTGTATCTTTACTTGCACACTCCCTTTTTGAGCCACGTAGCACAGCTCTACACTTAAGAGCCTTAAAAATGCAGACTTTGCTAAACCAGACTGAACTGCAAATGGAGTCTTTGATGCTCAGGGGAAAAAACTAAAAAGCTAAAAAGAGAAAAAGATAGAACTTCAACATAAAAAACTTCCTGGTAAAGATTTCTTGTAACTTCAGGAAAAATCTTGCCTAAGAGGTTTAAACTTTTAGCTGAATTTGTGACTGTTAATAGAAGTGTGCTTAAAAACAGTTTATGCTGGCTGAAAACACGCAGACTCATCAAAAGCCAGGGACTCCATGACCTAACTTAATAAATAAATTTTAAAAATTGACAGAAACATTGTGAATTTTTCAAGTTTCAGCAATGCATACATATGAATTATTCAAACTTGATTATGCAACACCCTCCAAAAAGCTAAGCTAGCCACAGCAGCGCAAAACTCACGTATCCCAGCTGCAACACCACCACAAGAGCAGTCTGTCAGCACCAGTTCCACAGCAGGGCAGCAGCAGGCATGTTTGTTATGTGTGAATTTACACTGTGTATTTGGATTTTATGCAGAACCTCTGCCTATACCACTTTCTCACTGGCCTGCTGTGGAATCAGGGCAGGTTTCTGCTGACCCATCACTACCTGAGACATGGAAGACAACACAGACCAACCCAAAGCCACTGTGGTAAAACTGTGGATGAGCCTCCACTTCACCAGCACAATGACCTTCATTTCCCAGCTCCCTAGTTCTCCTTAAAGCAAAACAATCAGCACAGTGAGGAAAGGGCCTTTTTAAAAGTGATTCCCACAAACTGCAGTTCTGACCAACGTAAGCTTAACTGCATTGCCAAATAGCATGCATTCCTTCACTGCTGTGGAATAAAAAAACAACTATCCATGTTATTTTCACCCTGCTGCCCCATGGAAAGATATCCTTTAAGCACAGAGGCAAACAAATCAGCACTTGTGACTTGACAATCTAAGCTGACATACTTCCACTGCAAATGTAAGCTTGTACTTTGCTCGGAGGCAAAACTCTGAGTTAAGGAAAATCTGGCATCACAGTAAGCAATCAAGTCTTCAAATCTTGTCAGTAAAGTCTGGTTTGTGGATAGTTGGGAATGGACAAAGAGAAACCAAGAGAGATTAAGTAAATTTGAGATTTTTAAGAACATCACAGACCTTATGTTACAAATAACCTTTTCCAAACTGGACAGCTGCTCTAAAGAAAAAAAAAGAAAGGAGGAAACCCAAGTTGACTATACACCTAAAATGAGAGCTTGTTCTCCTATTTTTTAAGAACAATAAGCAGTATTTCCAAGTGTTTGTTTTCTTTTGTGGTTTTCTTTTCTTATGGAGAGACATTTCAGACAAATTACCACTATGAAACACATTCATGATATACTTCAGAGAGCTCACCCACCTGTACAAAAGCCCAGCTTTTGTTCCAGCACTTACACATAAGAATTCTTCCAACCCCCACAAAGCTAGGACCAGGAGATACAAAATACATAGGAGGCATTTTATTACTATTATTATTTAAACCAAGAAGTTTGGTTAAGGAGGAGACTGTAGTCATTCCTCTGAGGCAAACCTTAACTATGCACTTCTGTAACACAAAAGCCTAGACTGCTAAAAAGCAGCCGGTTATCCCTGAAGGCCATTCGACTGAGGCAATTACAGCTGCTTTCATTTTGGGTGGTACCAAGGAACTGCCCTTACTGCTGTACCCAACACCTTGCTGCTTCGTCACTTGGAAAGTCCAAAGTGTGCAGTACTCTGCATGAAGTCCTTCAGCAGCAGAGGCTCTCACATCCACTGGTCCTCTCACTTGAGAGGATCCCACTTTGAAGACCCTATTCAGGGTAATTTAGGATGCATCCACAGCAGGCAGCTCGCAAACAGATGCAGGATAACTTGGCCAGAGATCCATTGTCTTTGGGCTCAATACCACTAACGCAAGACATCACCACTTACAGCAAAATCTATTTCAATTCCCTGGGCAGGTGCATCATTCACAACTGTGCAGTGTGCACACAGAACATCCAGTGTTTGAATTACAGGTTGCACACTACATCTGCTAAAGGCAGATACTGTACTCCTCCTTAACATCCTCGTTTTCAGATCCTCATTTAGAAAAGCCTCACAATATTTTAATCAAACATTAAACTGCAAAAACGCAGTGAGTGCATGGCAGGTGTCTGATCGCTTCACATGCAGCAGCACTTTTCTCCAGCTCTAGGTTCCCTTCACAAAGGCACAACCTCTCTCAGGCCTGTGGCATGTGCACTGAGCAGTGTTCGCCTCCTGCTGCATGGGCTCTGCAGCCGTACACATCGTAAGCTTGGGCTTTGCTATTAAGACAGATTACATTTTTACATCAAGCTGTCTTAAGCCATTCTAATTGTACAATCAAACAGCAATTACAAATACCTTCTTCAAGCTGTATTAGCAACAGGGTTTTCTGTTGGCTTTAACAACAAAGAAGATTGTTTACTGAAGTGCTTGTTTGATAAATGCTTGTTCTGGAGGAAACATTCAGTTTTTGAACTACAAACCTTTTACCACAAATCAGTATTTTAACATACTTTGAGTATGTTCCAGATAGAAGGCAAGTGCAGGTTTCTAACCATAAGAGGAGCTATGGCCTGCAAAACACACTCAAGTTCTGTGTCACTCTGACATGAAGCCGACGGAGCCGCCTACAACACCAAGCGATTCTTCCAGTCACGTGTGCCTTCCTTTCCAGCACCAACCCCTTTCCTCCATTTCCAACTTCTTACAGTAGCGTCTAGTCTTTAGAAACAGAAGAGCTGCTAGACAAGACATTTACTTTAATCTGCTTTGGTAATGTTTAGGATTATACACAGGCAAAGAAGCAAGTCAGATGGACTTTCTCACAGGGTAGTTTTGAACACTGATCTAATGTGCAGTTACTGAGCAGTCATGTTACAAAGAGCAGCTATAACTAAATTTAAACCTACTAAATGTTCAGACATCCGAGCTTTCAGTTCTTGTTAACACATCTGCTTTATTTGTTGGTTTGTTTTGGCCTCTGAAAAACCACTGTCCCACATCAGAAAGCATCTGCCTTTGTTTCCAACTGCACAGGCTACGCTGAAAGAATGTTGTAAAAATCATGGTTGTACCTGGCTGGAAAACGTCTGGATATGGTGTGACTAGTATCTGTCACCACCACATTCCAAAGGTAAAAATAAGAGGAATTAAGCAGGGAAAGTAGTAGGCAAGTAAGCACCTATCTTTCCCCCATCCTGGTCCTGCCCTAAAATTTAGACACCATAAATTCTGAGATCGAAACTGTCCATCAAAGCTCCCCCCAGGAGCTCCCCACTCTTCAGGAGTGTATGTATGTTTGTAATGCAAACAAAGCACAGGCTTTGCAAAGGCACGTTTGAAGTGCAGCGTTTTACCCTGAGGAGCAGCTGGGTGTTTTGTACCTCTGTATTCAAAGCAGCAGCCAAGATGTACACAGTTCCCAGCCTGCAATTCCCTGAAGCCACTGGCTCAATTTCCAGCTGTGAATCAAATACTCTCCAATGCTGCACATCCTCCTCTTTCTTAGCAGGCTTCTTTTCTTAGGAAGAGTCACCCTTACTGGCGAGTTCTTTTTCAGCATTAGTCTTTCACGCCATTCCCACCTTCAACTACAGCTTTCCCTGCTGTTTATGGGCTGTGGGAAAAAGCAAAACAAAACACTGCACTTTCATGTGCTGGGGTGGGCTTTTTTTTGTGCATTCCCATCAACAAAAGGTCTCAAGACTTACTGACCTTCAAGAAAGGAAATAACACAGCAAACACCTCTGCAACACATCAGCAATGCATTATGTTACAACCAGCAGGAAGACCAGTAACCAAGCCTACAAAAAGCCCCACATCTATTACTGAACACAGGGCACACAAAGAGGGGGACCGGTTACACAGCTTTAAAACCTGTCAGTAAGCACAGATCCCTCTAGGCTACACCTTTAAGCCCGAACACGCTTTCCAATAAGTCACTCTGTTACAAAAACGCTCGCACAAAAAGCTTTATTTCTGCTTTTTTAGCCAGGGACGCACTGACTTCCTTGTAGAGGGCTGAAATAGCTTACAACTTTCTCAAACACACACGTGCAGCACAAACAACGGGAAGGGGAGTGAGAGAGACGCCAGAAGAACTCGGTTGTATGCAGCTAAAAGTCTTCGCAGCATTAGATGAAGCTGCTGCGCGACTCCGGATCGCTCCCCAGACGGGGCCGCCGTCACGCAGGCTCTCCCCGCGCACATGGATGCCGCCGCTTGGTCGACCGCTTTCCACCCCTTGGGACCATTTCCGGGATAAAGGCGGCTGCGGACAGAGCGGAAGCAGCCCCGCGGAAGGCCGCGCAGCGGACCCGCTCAGCCGCATCCTCCGCCAGCCGCCAGCGGTTGCTCAGAGTAAATCGCTATGCAAGCACCTCTATAGGGACTGAATTAAACACACATAAACATCCCGGGCCCGCGGCTGCTGTCCCCCAGGAGCTGGCAGCACTCCGCAGCGGAGGCCGGCGGCTCCGCGCCACTGCAGCCCGCGTTGAGGCCCGGCCTGGCCCCGCCGCCCTCCCCCCGGTCCAGGCCAGCCCCAGAGCTACCGCCCCGTGCCCAGGCACTCACACGAGGAGAAGGCTCCAGCGCTCACGTCACCGGGCCGGGCAGGGCCAGGCCGCGTCACCACCGTGAGCTGCGCCGCAGAAACACCCCCCCTCGGAAGTGTTGCGGGAACACATCCGGGGCACGGCGGTGCCACCGCCTCCAGGAGCGGGGCTGAACCATTGCATGCGGGAGAGGGAGAGGGAAAGGAGTGGAGCGACAGGGTGAACCATTCGAGGGAAAGGGGGAGCAGAACGGTCGCGAGACTGAACCATCGGAGGAGGGGTGCACCGGGCTATACCACCGCACCGCCCTGAGGGGAAGGAGCTGAGTCCCCGTGGGCAGCAGCGGGCAGCGGGGCTGGACTGCCCCACAGGAGACCGGCGGAGAGGGGCACCCTCCCCGCCATCCCTGGGGTGCTCGCTGTCCCTTTGGTCGGTGTCCCCAGGCTTGCGGTGTTGAGGCTGTGAGGCCGTCAGGGAGCTGGCGGGGCCGGGCCCCGGGTGCTGCCTTCCCTTGCCGCACCCTGACAGCCAGACGTGAGCATCGGGGTCGGGGCTACGGTCCCCAGAGAAGCCGTAGGGAAGGCCGATGGAGCGCGCTTTGCCACCCCGGCAGGCTGCGCCCGAGACACGCTGTTCTCGGAGGAGGAAGGCGTGTGGTCCGTGCGGGCGCGCATCAGCCTTAAGTACCTCTGTCAGGCGATGCAGATCGCGGCTGGCTTTTTTTTCCCCTCTAAGTATGCGTGGCTGATCCCAGCCCAAATGTTCCCGTTCTGCTGGGTGATCGCACGCACGTACCGAAGGAAGGGTTGTTCCCCTTCTCGCAGTGTCCCACCAGCCGTGGTGTTCTGCCCAAGCCCCAGGTCTCCGCCGGGCGGGGAGCGCACCCCCGTCTGCCCGGACGTGACCCAGCGCTAACGCGCACGTCCTCGCAGACACTCGGGCCATTGTCAGGAATCAGATGGAGGCCAGGGTTGAAAGCAAGGGCCTTTTCCTGACCGCACAGAGAGGAGCAACCCGTGCTCCAGCTGTGCTGCTGCCTGCCCGCTCAGGGCTTCGGGAGCGGGGCGAGGCGGGGTTGAGGGTGAGCACTCTGCTGAAGCCGTTGCCACTGAACACAAACCGCCTTATGTTTGAGAAGACAGGACCTGCGCTGTCAGGGGGGCAGCTTTTTATTTGCACAGTAATGGTCACGGCGGTTGCTGGGCCCCGGGGGCATATTTCCCCTTTTGGCTTTCTCCCCCAGCCCGCGGGCTCAGTCCCCGTTGCACGACGGTACAGGTGATGAGGGCCGGGGGCTGCCGGGCGGTCGGTGGCGCTTCCCCGCAGTCAGCGGGAGGGGTTCACTGTCACCGCTCACACCGGCCAGTTAGGAACAAAGGGAAGAGCCGCAGGGCTGGAATAAGTGGGGGCTCTCCCCAGGGAAGCACCGGCAGTGTCAGCAGGAAATTTCATCCCGGAGATTAAGCGCTGAGCCACGAGCTCGTTCGGAGCTGTCGGGGGAGCAGGGGCAAAGCACCCCAGCCCGGAGCCTCCCCAGGGCAATGGCAGGCCCGCTCCTCCAAGCCCTGCGGGGTCTTGCTGTTGGCTGGAACACACAGCACCCCATCTCACCCTTCGCTCGGGCAGCAGGCGAGCAGTTCCCCCGCCACAGCCGCGCCGGCCGTGCTCGGCTGGGCCCCAGCCAATCCTGGACGGTTTAATACGGCGCGCAGGGAGGTCCGAGCAACGTGCCGACAGCCAGCTGTGCAAGCACCGCTGCGAAACACACTCCGTCCCTGTCTGCTCGCAGCCGAGGGAGGAAGGATTTAACGTGTTTATTTATTTACTTTAAAACCAAACATGAAATGTCAGGCACCGCCTGGAGGAAGAGATGGCAGCCCACGGCACGCGTGTCCCGCGGAGCAGCCCGGCAAGGAGGTGTCCGGGCAGCACCCAGCCGTGTTGCTCCACACAAAAAACTTGATTTTAAACAAAGTGACGATTTCCACGGTCATGCCTCACTTTCGGTGCTGGTTCAGGGGCCTGTGTGCGCCGTGGACGGTTTTGCTCCAGTCTGAGCGCCAGCCCTGTACTGGGGAAGACGTTAAAATACGTGACTTCTTCCCTATGGCTGCTGGGTGAAAACAAAAAAGTCCCACACAACACGCGCACGAAATGACAACAGAGGCTGTCACTGTGCGGGCTGTTACGCAGAAGTGGGGCTGTCCCCATCCCCCCTGCCCACCGGCAGCGGGAGAGCAGAGCCGCGGATGGCTGGTACCCGCTCCAGCAAAACACATAGGGAAATCCTTTGCGGTCGGTAATCACCGCCGGCTATCGGGGAGCCCGCACTAGGTTTTGCTTCCAAATCTTGCACCACACCTTGCACCACACCTACCAGTTCAGCAGGGATGTGATGTCTAGCCCGTTTGGTCAGCAGCTACTTCTGTACCCAGTGTCCTTTCTCTTGAACAACAGCAGTGTGAATGAAGTGTGTGTGGGGGTCCCACTACGTGTGCCCGCTCCCCAGACACGCTCCAGTTTCTGGTCTGTTTGAGGAAGGTGTGTGTCTTTGGGCAGACGGGAGCCAGCCAGCCAGCCACACACCCGACTTTCCGTGTGTGTGCAGAAAGGCTCTTCACCTCCCCAGGACAGTGCTACGTCCATCCAGCACTACCTTTGGCGCTGAGAAAACACTCGCTAGGGCACCCCAACATTGTCAGCGTTTCAACCGTTTGGCTGACAGCTTGTAGGTTGATGGCCAAGAGTGAGTTCTCACAAAAAAAAGCACAAAAAAGTGCTTTTTTGGGGGGAGGAAGACGCTACCGGAAGAAGACGCCCTGGTCATCCCCTCTCTGACCCCGGGGTTCAGTGGGGCTTCAAGCTGCGGGACCCCTGGAGCAGCACTCTGCGGCCGGGTTTTCCAACCTAGAGAAGAACAACGGGAACAACTATATAACGAATGCAACGAGGTGAAATTCACCACCACGACGTGCACAGCGGCAGCGAGGGGGGCACGGCCGCAGCACACCCCCCCTCCCCGCGTACGTGCGCCCCGACACTGTCCTGATGGCACGGCCCCGGCGGACCGTACCATGGGCCGGGCTGCGGCGGGGGCGGGAAGGGGACGGAGGGGAAGTAGGGAGAGAAGTGGGGGGGCAACGGAGCTCCGTGTAGCGGGGAAGGGGCTCCCAGCGGGGGGCGGCAGGGTAAAGGGGGTGCCGTCAGCGGCCGCCGGCATGAAGCTTAGCGGCGAGGGCGGGGAGGGGGTCGGCGGGGCGGGGTGAGCGGGAGGCGGGCGGCGGTTCAACAGGTACAAATGGTTCCTCCCCGCAGCAGCGACGTGCAGAAGCGAACGCGCCGCGCCCGCTGCTGTCACTGACGGGGGGGCGGAGGAGCCCGCTGCCGCCGGGCGGTGACGGAGCCGCCATTGGGCCCCGCTGCGCGGGGGCGGGGCCGGCGGGCGGGCGGGCGGTGTCGCTATTGGCAGGCGAGGCGCGGTGGGAGGGGCGAGGGGCCGCGGCGCGCGGCGTGGGCCGGGCCGGGCCAGGGCAGAGCGAGAAGTTGGCGGCGGCGGCGGGGGGGACTGCGGAGCCGCGGAGCGCAGGTGAGCGGCGGCCGGGGCGGGGGAAGGCACTTCGACCCCGGGGTGGTACGGGGGGGGCCTGTCCCGGCGGTGCGTGCGAGGAGCTGCAACCCCCTGTGCCGGGATGCGCCACGGAGCCCGGGCACGGCGCGAGCCTCCTTCGCTCCCGACCCATCCTTCGCGCTGTCTCCTATGCTGCTTGCGGGCCCCTCCGCTCCCCGTCATCCTCCAGGAGCAGGTGAGCCACTGACTAACGCACATTGTGCTCTCGGCGACTCCACTGTGCGTGTGACAGCGGCTAACCTGCTCCTCGGACTCCGCTGTGCGGCCGCCTCACCTCCACGGACCCGTGCCGCGACGCCTGCGTCCCCTCCGTGCCACCCAAGTGAGGGGCTTCGGCGTGAGGAAGAGTCATTCCCCCCCGTGAAACGCCACTGTCCTGCCTCCAGCAGCTTGGCGCGGCAGACCCCGGACGTGCAGAGATAGCGCCTTTCAGTTAGCCACACGGCGTGGTGGAGTGTGGAAAGATTTAAGGTTTCATGCAGCCGGGCTCGGTGTGTCCAGCGCCAATGGAGATGAGTGGAACGCGCCGTGGCAGTGTGCGGGTGCTAGGAGCCCGTGGCAAAGTTGCACCAGAGGGATGCTGTGCCCCCCTCTCTCCTTCCCTGCTGTTCTCCAAAGTCAGTAAGTGCCAGTGGACTCCGTACCAAGTTAAAGAGGTGCTTCATCCCAGCCAGTGACGTCTTGATACCCAGTCAGTGACTAACTGAAGTGCTATTGCCAAGGGTGTGTTAACAGAAGAAACTGCCTGGTATTGCCCTGGATGAGTCACCTTTAAAGAGAGACTGTCTAGTCTGTTAAATGAACAACAGAAATGAGCTTCACTTTGCTTTTCTGTGGCCGTTTTGTTTCCCATGTAGCCCCCCCATCCTTGCACCCGGCTTTCCTCTCCTTGCGCCAGGGCTCTATTGGGTCCCCAGCCTTTGGCTGGGTTCTGGCAGAGCTGCCTTGCGCCATCACACCGTGATGTCACGCAGGGGACTCTTGACTTCATGGCCCTGAGGAGCAGGAAGGCAAGCTGGGCAGGGACTCCTCTAGCCGCTCAGAGTGGCTGTCACTAGAAACAGAGGAAGTGATGAAGCAGATTGCTTCTCCTACAAAGTTCTTTCTTGCAGTTTTAGACTGGTGAAGAAGCTGGATAGTTGAAATTTACCTTTTTTAAAGCACAGCGCAGCTTTACCAGCAGCTTAAACTCATAAAAATCAGCCAGGATTCACCACAGCCTGCTGAGGTTTCCTGAAAGGGCTCAGGTCTTCTCCTTGTTGCTCACATGTAGCCCTGGACTTGTTGTGAAGGCTTGATCTGGAAGAGTGAGCAGTGCTCTGGTCAGTAAGTAGTTAATTCCTCAGAAGGCAGAACAACGGCCTCTGCCCTGATAGAGACTGTAATGGAGTAATTTTGCCTGTCCCCATCTCTCCTTCATGCACTCATTTGTTGCGTCTCCCTTTGGGTCCTGGATGAGCATCTGCTCTTCTGCAAGAAAAAATCAGCTCCCTCTGTGCTCCACACAGACTGGGTGAGTCCATGGTGCTCAAACAGGGTAAAAAGAGAGGAAAACCACCTGAATTTACCAAAGCTGCTTTCTCACTTGTTCAGAAGCCAGATAGGCCTTTTTTGACTGGGGAGGTCAGATAAGTTCACAGCTTTCACAGCCGCAGAAGGCTTTCCTCCTCCCTAGCTACACTTAACAGCATCTCCCCACTGCTAGTGCTGAGCAGACAGGAGCACAGAACTCCACGTGGAGAGCAGGGAGAGGGAAACCTGGTGCAAGATACACCTGTGTATGAGCGTGTCTGTGAGCACAAACTGAAGCCCGGTGGTCCCCTACCACCCCATTTCATCGGGATGTGTAACTGTGCGTGTAAGAAACCTGCATCTGAAAATTAAGGTGCTTTGTTTCTTTTTGAAGAAACATCCCTGTGTTTGGGACTGTGCTGCCCAATGACTAACTGCTGGAAATGCCACTGGCAGAAGCAACTCTGTGGGTTGCCTGGCAAGGCTTGTCCCTGTTCCCACGAGCAGCACTGTGGTATGAATTTCCCACTACCTATGGAACCATCCTGCTCTGTTCCAGTAAGCAAAGGCAAGGGGTTGAATTGAAGTTTGTTTGGTTTTGCTTTTATTTTGTGTCTCTCTCCAGTAAGCGCTGGTAAGTATACAGCTTAATTCCTGGTTTTAGTATTCTTGTGGCATGATTCAAAACTAAGCTGTTGTGCTGTCACCTGAAGTCTTCAATAAATAGTGCAAAACCAGTGTTTGAGTGCTTATTACTGTATTACTGGGTGCTAGACCAGGTGAAGAGGAAAGCTGTACCTTCTCAGTGACATGTCTGATGTGCATTCCATGCCCCGTGCCTCCTATCTTTTACCTCTGCAGCCAGCGAAGGCGGCTTGAAAAGGAGAGCAGAAGAGGTGCTACCTGGTTGTCTCTCAAGCAGAAAGCCCAGCAGCAGGGCTAAGATACCCCTTAACTTCATGGGTTTTGGTAGCTAATAAGCAGATTGGTAAGGACATGCTTAGCCTGGCAACAAGAATAGTCGGTGCTAAAACCTCTCACTCAGAACTGATGCTGTAAAATTACTGGGGAGAAGCAGGAGTGTGCTTTACAGGAGGGGAACATGCTTGACTGTCAGGCCCATTACACTGAGGGGACTTCTCTGTTCTCCTCACGTATTTTGTTCTCTTATTTCAGCTCTTTGCAGAGGGAAGCGAGCAGGCCTAACGCTTCAAGCATTGCGCTAGGAAGTGCCTATCCTGTTCTGCCTGTACCGTGTGCCAGTAGCAGGTCGGTGGTGAGCCTCACCGAAGGAGCAAGCTGGCCTGTGAGGAATAGCAGGAGTACATGACTTGTTTAAGAGGGAGTCAGTCAACTAAATGCAAGTGTGGACTTACATAATACATCCTAAAAAAAAAAAAAAAGAGGAATAAAATTTCTGCTGGCAGGAGGTTCCATTGGGAGAGAAACTTGCTCATCCATAAACAAGGAAATTTCCCGGCTTCCTCTAGTGCTTTATGATTTTTTAAATCTTTTTTGGTTTTGGGTTTTTCTTTTTTCTCAGGGCAAGGTAGAATGCAATCAGTCTTTCCCCTGAGACAGAGAAGGGAAAAACATAGGGAGAGCAGACAGTGCTCCCTGCATGGACACACATGCTAGTTCAAGGAGTTTCTCTTCTCCCTCTGCAGTGAGCTATCCTCGTAGGAACTGTGCGCCCAGGAGCTAGCAGCAGAGCATCTGTACACTGCTTGGGGAGCAAAACCAACAGGCATTTTCTCCTCCAGTCATTCACACCTTTCCTTATGTAACTGGTGCTGAAGCGTGTGCTTTAGAAGCTGCTTGCCAAGTCCAGGGGCTGGGAGGCAGCATGAATGCTTGCTTCTAGTACTCTAGGTGAGATTTAAGGGGGGAAAAAACCTAAACTCAGTCACTGAGGAGCTCAAACACACCCATGACTGCAAACTGGGTGTCTTTCAGACGTATGCAGCTGTGCTGCCCTTGGGGAACTGTACTGGTCTGGGGCAGCACCATCTGCGGAAGGTGCCTGACCCAAAGAGCTGGCACAGCCCAGGGTAGATGGCTGAGGAGCTGGGAGCCGTCTTATTTGCTTATGCAATATCCAAAACATTATAGTAATTGTGTAGCACAGAAAGGAGAGGAGGCCCAGGGGGCTGGGAGGCCAAACTGCTCTCCTCAGTGGTGCCTTGGCCTGAGACAGGCTGCAGAGCTAATTGAAAATAAAAGCTCAAAAGGATGCTGGAGCTGTTCACCGGTAAAAAAACAGGTATGTCCTTTGTGTTGTGATTGCTGGGTGCCACTGGAGCTGGTGGAGAGAAGCATTCGAGGAGGGAGAAGCCCTGAAGCGCATTCCTGCCTGCCACAGGGAAGGAAGAAGCTGGTTCACAGCTCCTGAGGGTCATGGGGACATGGCTGTCCTCCATTCACCCAAGCACAGCATCCTCGAGGCACCTGGTATGCTTGGATCCCTGCCTCAGCCACAAGCAGCTGGTTGTTCCCTCTTCAGTACACATCGTGTGCTGGGCTTTTGGTTTGTGTTTTTTGTTTTTTAAGGGAAAAAACAATAATTCATTTGCTTTGTTTTAATCTCATAACAATGAGTAATTCCTTCCTAGCACTCTGTAGTGGCCTAGAAAAGGACAGCATCATCTCCACTGTAGCAAGAAGGCTTCTCCCAGGGCATAAAATTTTAATTAGGAACAATCACGCAGCCTTGAAATGGGAATTGCGAGCAGCAAAAAAAGTCAAACCATCAATAAAATATTCAATGGCAGAAATGTATTATTGACACAGCCTTTGGAGCAGGGAAAGGCAGGGGAGCAAGAGCAGGTATCGAACCTCACTGGCTGAAATAACACGTGGGGGCCTGCATGCTCACCATGCCATGGCACACACCCCCCCCCCGCCATTGCACACCCCCAGTACCAGGAGAAATATAGGTCACCCGCGGGTGGGAGTTTCCCAAGGTAATAAATGAGTTTGATTAACACCTCTCCCCACACTGGTGTGCACCACAGCAGGGAGAGAGGCGTTAATCAAAGTAATTTATCACCTTAGAAAACACTGCTCCCTTTGCAGCAGTTGGGTGATGGTTTATGGGAAACAAAATGCCTTGAGCTGGAAAAGCAGAGATAGCCCTGAGCCATGGCACTCACCCCAACCCCATGTGTGATTCTTAAACCTCTGAGAGACACAGCCACATCACGCTGTCCCCCATCCCAGACATCAGTTCTGAATCCTGCATCCCAGCACTCAGGGCCAAAATCTGCAGTGATGCATATTTTTTAAAGCCGTATTTCCCCTGCTATTCCCCTGCCCCAAGGCAGACTGATGCTGGTTTGACCTGTCAGATCACGGCTGAGTGGAAGTGACCCACAAAAAACACCATCAAATACATAAGCAGAAGCGCAGGGCAAAAATCCTATGCAAAATCAGAGATTCAGATTAGTTTTCTGCCCTGTTTTTCCCAGCAGGAGGTGCCATAAGCAGTGACCCTTTGGTCTTTATTCCCATCTATTTTGCAGAAGGCAAAGCTACAAGTTTAGCCCCCAAACCAGAAGATCCAGTTTTTAATCTGTGGAGGTCAGCGTTTCAGGGCACCCAGAGGACTTTGCGCAGCATCCCAAATCTGGCCACGTCCAAGGCAAGTGGGTTTTCTGAACCTGCTTTTTTGGGTGTTTTTCCCCCAGGCAGCACTGAAATGCTCTTTACAACCTCCATCACCCTCTGCTGCTCTTCCTATCAAGATGGAGTCTCACTTTTAAAAGCAAGAGAGTCCGAAAAGCTGACCGCAAGAAGCCCAAAAAGGAAGCCAACAGGAGGGAAACTCCTAGATGCGGCTGCACAGAGCAAACAGTTTTACCTCATTTTCCCTGACATATGTGATTTAAGGAGGAAGAACAAAAAAGCTAACAAAAAAACCCAACAACCAGCCCAAAAGCCCCAAACCCCATGATTCAAAAAAGACAACTCTGAAATTGCATCTCCTCGCTGCAGCAGCTCTCCCGTCGTAACTGGTTGCACCAGCACTCTCCCAACAAAGCATGCTTTAATCCTTCAATAGCACTTGACCAACCTGCTGAGCTGCAGTGGCACCTCAAAAAATCAGCTTTGAGGGGCACATCCCCAGGGCCCAGCAGTCTCAGGGGAGACGTCAACAGCAGACGTTCTTGCTTGCAGGTAGACAGAGGGGCTTGAAGGTAAATGAGAGGTTTCCCCCTTAAATGCTCTTATCTACAGCTACCCCCCTTTGCCTCCTATCCTAAAATGCTCCTTGCTGCTGCTGTGCATTATTAAAATGCTGCCATGTTTCATCCCAGAGACGGCCTCTCACCAGAGACAAGCTTCATCCGCTGGTTGTAGAGCACTTTGTGATTTAAAATAAAATAAAAATGAAATAAATAAGAACGAAGGAAAAGAGCAGCGTGTGCATAAGATGCATTCAGTCATAAAATACTTACAGCTTCAATCCAGCAAAGGGGAAGAGATGGCTCGGAAATGAAAGAGGTGGCCACAGGGCGCGATGTGCCCATGGGGCACCTGACCAGGAGCCATCAGAGAGGGCTCACCCAGGCCCACAACAGCACGTGCACGCTTGCTTTGCTCAAATCCTTTCCCAAAGATTTATTGAAGATGGAAACCGCGGCACACCGGGTTACATTCGTAGGGGAAAGTGGGGTGCCCGAGTCACAGTTTTGCATACAATGTGTTGAAAACCTCCTCAACGAACCCATCCCCTCCCCAGACCACTTTGGTTTTGCAATTAAAATACAAGGCGACCCACTAGGATAGATGAACAACACCCGAGAGTAACTACTGGCCATCAAATGGAAAACCAAGATATAAATCAGTGAAATGTGACCAAGTGCGCTTTGATCCTGCTCCCCACCAGCACTGCCACTGGGGAAGGGCTTGTTCGAGGACTCTATTTTAGAAACAAGTTGAAAAATTAAGGGGATTTAAGAGAAACAAGCCCCTGCTGTGTGCTCCCCGCTCCCCTGAAGCCTGGTCCATGGCACCATGATAAAGGGTTTCTACTAGAGAGTTCTTATAAAAGAGGGGAACAAAAATTTGTCTTAGAGCTGCTCTTGTGCATCCCCTGTAGCCCATGAAGAGGTTGACATGGCCCCACTTGCTGCGGGAGAGGTGCTGTAAAATCTGTTAACTTGCTCCATCCAGGCAGGTCTCCACTGCAGCTTCGCTCCCCTAGTCCAAAGAGCAAGGGCTTTTCCAAATGGACGATGGATCTTTTGAGGAGGCTGCGTGGAAAGGGAGCACCGCTGTTTTCTGTTGAATATAGAAAGCTCTTAAAAAATAGACATAGAAGGAGGTTGCTTCCATCCACAGGGAGGAGGGTTCCTTTGTGTCGTTGGTCTCTGGTTTTATTTTACAGTCTGTAAAAATACTCTGGCCGTCCACATCCATTCACAATATAAAGCAGTAAAAAAAAAATAAAATATATATATAAAATATGGTTTATTTATACAGTTACACTTGCAAGGCAGTTGATCCTCCTCTGGCCAGGCCCTTCTACCTCCAGATGCTCTGCCTGGTTGATACAACTGCAAGACAAGACAAAAACCACCTGAGCAACCCCATCACAGCGGGCAAGCAGAAAGGGAAATGGAAAACAGGACATACGTGAGGGCAAAGCCTCGGCTGAGAGGTGGGTATGCAGATGCCAGCACATCTGCTGAGACAGGGGTGGACGTTTTGGGCTGTGAGGAGGATGGCAATAGGGTCTTGCTGAGCGGATGGTGGTGTGGGTGGGAATGGCATACCGGCATGCAGCCACCATTGCCATGGCAGGCAGGAAGATCATAGCTTGCTCTTTTGTGGTGCAGGGTTAGGATTAGGATCACAGTAGGTGGGAGGAGTTTTGGGAGAAACTGGTCCCCATGATGGAGTAAAAGTGACTCCTGTATGAGATAGCTGCCAAATCATCCCCATCCTAACCCTAGCAAGATCTTAGCCCTGGGGGATGCAGGGTGGCAGGAGAGGGGATGCGGAACATTCTCTGCAGCTCCTGGCAGGGCAGAGAGCTGCACCTCCAGCATGTGAGCCCCTGGCAGCACAGTGAAGGCTGCCAGGGTGTAAGCTTTGCTCTTCCTAATGGCATCTATAAATAGCTCTGGCCTCCTGCTTCCAGCACACGCTCTCTGCAGCCCATTCTGGGCAGCAAAAGCCTTTTCCCCTCCTTCCCACGCATCCTTCCCCATCCCAGCTTGTGCTCCTGGGCACCAGCTGGGACATACGCACCCTCAGGGCTCAGGCTGGACACCAGTGGCTCTGGCAGGGTCCTGGGATGGCCGAGGAGCTGTTTGGTGCTGGCCTGGGGAGGCGAGTCTGCGCCGGTAGTGGGAGGAAAACCTACAGATGGGGAAAAATGCCTGGCTCAGGCTGGGCTTGCACCTTCCCCGTGCTTGCTGGGCACAACCGCTGCAGTGCTATGGGGCAGCTACATCATCCTCTCTGGGTACCCCAGAGGAGTGACCAGGTCCCTGTTTTTCCCTGTCACTTTCCACAGGAGCCCCCCCCATCTCCTTTCAGCCCCGTGAGGATGTGGACGTGGCCCCAGGCACCATGCTCACCCATCCCCAACACAGAGGTCATCAGTGGCTGAAGCCCATCCCCACCAGCCACAGCCAATGGGGGATGACACTGGTCCTCAGCAACCTTTTTGCCACTGCTGTGGTGGCAGCATGCAGCAGTGCTGTGAAGGAAAGCTCCCTGCAGCAGCCCCAGCCCCCAAAACAGCAATGCAGGATCTGACCACTGAGCGTGGCTACAAGCAACCCCAAGGCTTCAGTGGGGAGGAGAAAGGAGTCCCAGGCCTGGCAAACCTCAGAGACCCCCGGGGTGGGGAGTGAGTGCTGTGCCAGCACCAAAACACCATTCCTGCTGCCTAACAGCAGTGCCCAGGGCAGCACTGGCCAGCTTTGGGGCCGAACGCTTGGAGGGGGTGCTGACCCCTTTGGAGGGGGAGGCTGGGAGCGGGCAGGAGTCCCCCGGAGCAGCCCCCGCGGCCGAGCCGGCGGCAGCGTGCTGACCTCCGTTTCTCCGGTAGGCTGGCAGCTCGCACTGGCTCGGCTCCGGCTGGGCATCCTCCTCGGACCGGGCCTGCAGGACGGTCACCGTGGCCCCCGTCTGCTGAATAAACTGCTGCAAATTACACTGCCTCAGCTCCTTATTTAACTCCTCCAGCTCTTGGGTCTGGGCCTGCAAAACACACACCGAGGGGGAGGACAGGGTGAGCTGCGTGTCCCTCCCATGCCCCAAAACCAGCTGGCATCCCACCCCGGGGCTGCTTCCCCTAGCAGGGGCTTACCCTACCAGAGCTAGCAGAGACCTCGGGGGTAGTGTGGCTCAGCCACCCCTCTCTGAGGGCCTGTGGGAAGAAGGGATGAGGAAGGCATTGTTTTGGGAAGAGCCCTGCTTTGCTGCATCTCCACAAGAGGGTGTGAGCAGCCATCAAACTGCGGACGCTGCGCTGCCGGGAGGTGCCAGACACAAATGAAATGCTCAAGACAAGATGCTGGAAGCTCAGCCCCACAGCTGCCATCGTCACACTGCGTAGGCCCTTGCACAGTCTGCATGATCAAAAGGTTTCATGCACAGCTACCATGGGACCTACACTGTCCTATTCCCCCCTGCGACTCCTTTATCCAAGATGTTAACCCTTATGCCAATGCCACTGACCCTGCACATGGACCATTTGCTCTGGCACCCTTGTCCGTGCAGTAGTAGGGTGATGCTGTGCTTCCTGTGCACCAGCCAGGAGGAGCCCCAGCCCAGATGCAGCTTGCACAGGGTCAAGCTGCATTTGTGTGGGACCCTGTGCTGGCTGGGTAAGAGCAGTAGTGTCCCCCTGACAGTGGTAACTGCCACTGAGCCATCTCCATGCACCCAGCCCCACGCTCATCAGCCAGGTGTGGCAAGATCAACCCCACACAACCCATCAGCTCCCAGGCTGCTGGAAGGCTGGTCCCATCACCTCCCAAAGGTCATACCATCCCATGGGGCTGCTTGACCAGGTCCTATCTACCTGCAGGTTCCTTTCAGCTTCCTCCAGGGCCTTCTCCACACTGGCCAGGTTGCTCTCCAGCTGGGTCCCTTGCTTGACCTTGGCCTCTAGGTCCCTTTTCATCTTGGCAGCCATGTCCTCCAGGTCTGTGGGGCTGGGCACAGGGATCTCCTTCCCCCTCTTGGCTCTTTCTGCCATCTCCCACTGGATCTCCTCCTGCAGGGCTTCGGTCCGGGCGCTCAGCTCATAGATCCTCTGGGTGTACTCCTCCAGGCTGGCCCGGAGGCTCCTAACGCGCTCCTGCCGCTCCCGCTCGCACTCCTTTTCCAGCCGGAGCTCAGTCTGCCAAAACTCCTCCTCACCCAGCTCTGTCTCATTCCTCCGCACCAGGTGCTCTAGGTAGAGGATCTCATCCTCCTGACCCGCGAACCGGCCACGCTCCCAGAGCCGTAGGTCCATCTCCAGGGTGTCCCCATGGGCCTCCAAGGAATGCAGCTGCTCCTGCTGCCGCAGCACCCTCCTAAACAGCTCCTCCTTGGAGGGCTGGAGGACCCCACCGCCCTCCAAGTCCATCCCTTCCCGTGCTTGGTGCCTCCAGCGGCTCATGGCAAATGGGTCACCTGCAGGACCCAAGTTGAAGGTCATGGATTTTTTTGGCTCCCGGGAACGGGGTGCATCCGTGCTGGCAGGCCTGGGCTTGATGGGCAAGCTGGCCCGGATGAACGTCCTCTCGGGGGCTTGGGGAGCACCCTCTGAGGAGGGCCGCTCGGCCACGCTGGGGCCTGTCCGGCGCAGCACAAACTGCACGTCATTGGCATACTGCCCGCACTTGGCCAGCGACTCCAAGGGGCACTCCAGTGGCAGCAGCTGCCGCTCCTTCTCCCGCAGCTTCTGCACCAGCACATAGCGGCCCGTCTGACCTGCCGGGAGGAGGTGAGCACGTCAGACTGGGAAAGCCATGGCCAGCAGGGATGTACTGAGGCTGCTGACTCCCCCACATCAGGACCCCTACCCACCCAAGGTCTCTTCTTCCTGGGAAGGACCTGCAAAGGGGCATCCCTCCCCACCCAGCACATGGACATGGCTCACCTATGGCCCGCGCCAAGGCGATAACCACTTCTTGGCAGGTGGTTTGCTCCGAAACACCACAGACAACCCTTTGGATCCCATCCACCCAGACCTTCAGCTCCATCCCCACAGCTGCCGGGCCTCAGGTGCACTGGGTCATTGCAGGATGGATGGTCTGTAGGGAGAAAAGAAACCAGGTGTCCATCCCAAGCTGCTAATGAGGAACATGAGAAGCTTTATGAGCAATGTCAATGATCATCTTTAAGGTGCCCCCTAGACCAAGCAGTTGCTTGCTGCTGCCCTCCTTCAGTCTGCAGCTCACCCTGCACACAGGCTGTGTGTTTGTTGATTTTATTAAAACACTGGTGTTTACCTGCAAAAAAAGAGAAAGTTATTTTTTTTCTTCTCATGTCTGAGCAGTGGGTTCAGATCTTCCCGTGGTGGAAAATGATGGATGGGGTTTGTGTGCCTGCATGGTGCCCAGGAGAAGATGCCCAGGTTATTTCAGCTGCAAGCACAGATCTTTAATGGGTTTCTTGGACTTTCACTGTGATTTCTCTTACAATTTAACAGCACAGCACCAAACAAGAGTAGAAAAGGCAGAGAAACCACCGGCTGCACACGCTTGCAATGGGATATTGAGAGAAGGTGCAGACGGTGCACATTTTAAACTATTTATATCCATCTGAATTTATCAGAGTTTAATTAAGACATTGATTGAGATTAACTGATTAAGAGATTAAAATGAAGCCTCTTTCTGCACAAAACCAGAGGTAGTGTTTGGGAGAGGGAGACAGGCAAAGCTCGGGCTCCCGGGGGATGCTCTGCCAGCGCTGGTGCCCAGCCTGACTGCCACCCAGCAGTGACTTGTCCTGTGTTAAAATGACACCCGGGTGCACCCAACTCCTGCCTCTTCCAGCAGCTCAACAACTGCAAAAGCCTTCAAAACAAAAAACCCCAAAAAGCCCCTAATAAGAAAAATTAAGCACAAACTGTAAAGGACTCAGAAATTTGAGCTTACAGTGTTTTCAAACACTGTGCAAACAAAGATGTACATTTCCTCCCCCTATAACACTCTTTTTCTAGCATCAGGCTCATCGGAAAGCCGTAAGCAGAGGGCTGTATACAGGAGATTCTCAGGCCCTCTGTCTGGAGGGTCCCAACCCACCTTCCCAACCTACCCCGGCTGGTTGCAGCCTCTCCATCCCCCAGCTGCAGCTCTCCCAGGATTGTAACCAGGCTGCAAGGAAGCTTGGCCTCAGGTTAAACACCACTTCTTGGTTGCTGCCTGCTTGAGTAACTGAAGGGAGGGCTCAAAGGGTCTCATTCCTCAGTGATGGGGGAGTTTAGCCGTAACACGAGAAACCCAAGCAGAAACCAGGGAAGATGCCGCTTGTTGAGGACACTGCCCATAGGTGCCACCTCCCCTGCTCACCTCTGAAATGTGGGCACAGAGTGGCTGCCACAAATACCTTGGTGCTGAGCTCATGTTTTCCTTGGCTGAGCAGCTGGGGAAAACCGGTGGGGTTGAAGGGCACCCTGAGCTCGGCTGCTCTCCCTGTGAGCCCAAACCCACTCAGATTTGCAAGGTTCAGCCCAGTTTCATCCCAAAGCTGGGCTTTGCCACCACTCCCCATACCCTGTGCATTCAAAGCCACAAGCTGCCCCTGGTGCAGAGCAAAGTCCAAGCACCTCCACGGCACCACCCAGCTCACCCTGAAGCCACTGGTTCTTCCCAACACAGCGCCCTAATGCCAAATTTGGGGTGGCAATGCATACTGGTGAGCAGCACCCCCAACCCAGCCAGGGACCCTGCCAGCATCAAACCCAGCTTCTCCTGCCCTGACCCCAGGGGGAGGCCAGGAGCTTGGAAAGAAATAAGAAAGCAGGAACCCAGGTGTAGCACAGCCTTACCTAGCCTGGAAGTTCCAGGGGCTGCCGAACGCTGCCAGGTGTGGGAGCAGGATGGCTGCCGGCACACCAGTCCCAGGCACCTGCCTGGGTTCAAACCCAGCACCAACCTCCGGCCCCGCCTTGGCAATCATTTACCAGCAGCACCGCTGCCAAAGAGCTGGGAGCAGCAGTTTCTGTCCTGATACAGGGGAAAGCACCCAAAAAGCAGGTGGTGCACCTCTCCCGGGCACATCCCCGGCACCCGAAAATCCAGTCGTTTTTATTACTATGTCCTTATATCCTGGCAAGCACAGGGCAGCCCTCTTAACCAATTGCTCACCATAACCCAAGTTTTCCTTGGGGATTGCTGTCGCCAACTCATAGCCAGATAGGGGATGTTATCTGCCCCCTTGCAAGGGTGTGGTAAATATGGCTGGGAGCTGCTCCCTCCTCGGCCTGCCCTCCTCACCCCTTCCAGGGCAGGATCATAGAATGGTTTGGGTTGGAAGGGACCTTAAAGATCACCCAGTTCCAACTCCCCTGCCATGGGCAGGGACACCTTCCATTAGACCAGGCTGCTCAAAGCCCCGTCCAACCTGGCTCTGAACACTGCCAGGGACTGGGCAGCCACAGCTTCTCTGGGCAACCTGTGCCAGGTTATCTCCACCCTCGTCATGACGAATTTCAGGATCTGCTCCCCCAGCCCACCCAAAACCAGCCTGGCTGCCCCTCTTCCCTCAAAGCCCCGGCCCTCATGGAGGAGCTGATGGGATGAAAGCTCATCTTCATCTGGGAGGACAGCAATGCTCCCTGCACACATCACAACCCATACGCAGCATCTTGTCTCCAGTAACCTACCACACCAGCATCACCTCTGCTGTAGCCCCACTCAGCTCTTTACCATCACTTCTAAAATAATAAGCAGCTGGGGGGCACTGTTATTCCTTCACTTGCAAACACAACCCTCCTCTCTCCAAGCTTTACTGCTGACCCCCTGCTTTAGTTAGCAAGTGTCTTTGTTACACCACCAGGTAGTAAAATGGGCTCTTGGTTTTTGGACAAGAATCGCTTTCCTGCAGGAAGCAGCACTTCTGAGCAGGACTGTTTCCAGCTGCCCCTGCTTGCTTGTAGCTGCCCTAGGAGGTCACTCTGACCATGAACTGGAAGTGCAGGCAGCTGCACAGGGAAGTAAGCAGGTGGCTGTAGGCACCAGGAGGCATCCCAAAAGCTGCTCGCATTTTATTCTTACAACCCCCCTCTGTAAATTTATAAATAACTTTATTGGAAACAGATTAACAAAGTGACTTTCTGCTCCCTTCCCCATGCAATGGGTCCTAAAATTGAGGGTAAGGATGATTCCACAATTACACCAAATTTCCTAACTGGGAGTTGGAATTTCAAATGCTGACACTAGTGGGGGGTGAAGGGGGGGAGGGGAAGGGTTTGTTTGTTTGTTTGTTGGTGTGTTGTCCTTTTTTGATGTTGTTAGTGCTTTTTAATTAACAATCTCAGATCCTGCAGCTTTGTTTCCTGGCACTGCTGTCTCCCAGTCTCCCCGAAGCTGTCGGGCTAAAGAGGAGCTGAAGGAGCATTTCTGCATGTGCAGGAGGGGGATGCACATTTTGTACAGCTCCTGCAAACCGCCATCCTAATGGCTGCCAGGACTCACAAGGGTTTGGTGATGTCCCAGAACCTGAAATAATGTATGGCCAGCTAAGAAAACTGGCCAGCCATCCTCCTTACACAAGTGAGGACCACAAACAGTTTGCAGAGACTCCCCCCACATCCTCCACAGGAATTCAGAGAAGCTGAGACAGCACCTTCCAGCCAAGGACTGCAAACACTCTGCAAGTGTGTTTCTCTCACACAGAAGAAAAAAGAATCATATTTGCTTAGGAGGAAAAAACCTACCAGTTTTGCACGCAACAGCAAGGCCAGCTGCAACCCAAATGCCAAAGCACCCCAAATGCCTCTCGGCTGCATCCCAAACACCTCTAACAGGCCTCCTAACAAGTACTGCCTGGTACCAGCATGCAGGTTTTGAGCCAAGCATCCCACCAGTGCTGAGGTTTCACCCATTTTGGGGGGTTCACTTGGTATGTCCACCCCTGGCAGAGGACTGGGTACAGCACTGGGCAGGCAGGAAGAAGAGCAAGAGCTTCCCAGCAAGCCTAATTAAAACTGCAAAATCCAGAAGACTAGAATCCTTTCACGTCAGGGTTTGGGCTGGGGTAATAAGGACTAATAACTAATAAATAAAGATGTATTTGTACTTGAGAGCAGGCTATGATGAGCTCACCATCCAAAGAGGATGAAGGTGTCTATGGGGCCAGCAGCAGTGCATCCCTTTGGATACGTTCCAGGCAGATGCTGGGGTACTCTTGGTCATTTCATTCCTGCTTTGAACCTGACCCTCTCACTCCTCTCCTACCCTGCACTGGGGGTACGCTCATCCCAGCTGTGTGCAGACACACAGGTAAAGAAAAAACCTCAACACATGAGTAAACAGCAAGTGATGAGGGGGAGGAGTCACTCGTGCCACCATCCTGCATGCTGGAACACTGGCAGGCTGGCTCTGACTCACCACCTGGGATCAGCTGCTGTGGTGATGCATCCAACAGCTATTTAATGCTTCCTGAGGTCTCTCCCTGCCTCAAGCACGGACACCAAAGGGAAGAGATGGTACTTGGACACATGCTGAAACCTTCTAGTGGGACGGAAGCCTTGCCATTACTCAGGTGTGGAGAGGTGACCCAGCATCAAGAAGATCCCCCTGATGGTGCTCATCCTGCAGCAGGTTGGAGGTGATGGGTCTTCACCCAGGCTCTCCTCCAGCCCATTGACAGTGTCCTATCCTCTTAGGTCCCTCTTTTGGAGCGGCATCACCTGCCCTTGGCTGGGCTGCTGCAGGGCTAGAGCAGCTCTGCTGGGCTTTCTAGACCATGTCCATTCCAGGAACAGAGGGTGACCAGAGTCAAAGCTTGAGGGCGTCACCAAGGGTTGACACCACTGGCAGATTCAATACTGGGCAAAGATCAGCCACGGCAAAGCTTGACACCGTGGCTCCTCCTGGTCTGGCAGGTCCCACGCTGGGCAGAGATGATCATCCACAGGTCTGTGCAGCAGAATCTGGCTACCACTGATGGTTGCTGCCACTCCAGCAGGGAGCACCAGGCAGAGCCCTGCCTGCAGCCTTGTGGTGCAGGAACTTTCCACAGTGCCATGTTCATCCTGAAGATGCTGGCCCTGGAATCCTAAATAGACACCATCTCATAGCCTAGTGCAAAGCAGCCAAGAGCACCACCTGCCAAAAAGAGGTCATCATCTTCTGCAGTGTGGAGGCCATGAGGGTACATGCAGGACACAGGCACAGGGCTCCAGCCTGGGGCAGCAAATGGGTTACTTTATTCCCATGCAAAGAGCTGACAGGGGTTAAACAAGCTCAAGAGGTGACAAACAAGTCCTACCAGAGCAGTCACAGCCCAGAAAGGCAGCATCCTGTCACAGGGAGTGTGTGCAAGTGTTACTCACCCTGCAGGCCTATTGAAGCCACCAGTTCTTATGCAAGGTGGCCACAAGCACCCAGGAGCAAGGAAGCAGCAGGCACAGGGCTCTAATTCACACCAAATGTCTTATTTAGAGGTAGCCATAATAATCCCTGCATCTGTGGTCCACCCATCATGCTCCATCCAGTTTCCTGCTCTGCCACAGCATGTCTGACAGCAAGCCCTAAAAATCGGCAAGTACTGATATCAGTAATTTTAAAGCCACAAGGACTTTGAGAACTCCAATTTTTTCTCCTCTTTCTGCTGGAGAAGCCCCAGCTGGAGACAGGGATTACCCTGCAAATGTACCCTGAAGGTGCAGCTTTACCAGAAAGGTGCGGATGGATCCCAACCCACATGCACCCCCAGGCTCTGTTGCACTTTGATAGCAAGCAGCTTCCGCTGGAAGCATCTTACGATGCATAACACACACTTGGCATCCCCAGAAGTTACATTCATGTTTCAAAGGCCTTTTGAACCCGAAGGAGATTGAATGGCCAAGACCAGGAAAACAAAGTCCTGTGGTACCTGCATTGCCAAGAAACATCAGTTGAGCTTGAAGCCACAGATCACTGTTGAAGTCCCCTGGCATCCCAAGACAGACATGTCCCATGCATTAGGATCTTGCAGGAAATGCCTGAAGAGACAGATTTCTGAAGAGCAATAAGCACCATGCCAGCAACCCCCCATTAAGAGCAAATTAGAGGGTTAGGTATTTTCTGCTTCACTTCCTCCCCAAAATTACAGACCCATGTTAACATGCCCTGGGTGTACAGGCAAGCCTGGCCAACGCTGAGCAGGGTGGGAAGAGCTAGAGATAAATCTTGCCCTGAACTATGATGAAGGATGGCGACTGGCCTTGGGGTGATGGCCTTTCACAGAGATTTAGGGCAGGGAGGCTCACAACCCAGCTGATGCAGAGGCAGCTCACCCCATCCCAGCTCTGCCTGCAGAGACTTCTCTCACCATTTTTTCCACCCAAGCTTTTGGCTCTGCATTAGACCTACATGAAGGCTTCAGAAACAGCACTGGGAAGGAGCTGGGGGACCTTTATCCCCTGTCTTAAACCACAGTTGGTGACCATGGCAGGCAAGTATCAAGAGCTGTGTTGAAACATCAAGGATTGTGGGCAGCGGTGACATGTCAGGGATGTTTACTAGCCAGTCCACTCCACAAATGAGCAACCAACTAAAAGCTCATTATAAATTAAAAGAAGTAAAAAAACCCCCTTCACCTACTGCACACACTCATGTTACAGCATTTCAGCCTGGAAGGGGAAGGATCATCTTCCTCACCTTATTGCATTGTATTTCTCCTTTGAAGCACTACTGTCCACAGGGGGAGTAGAGCTGGCAAGGCTGGCTAGTACAGTCTGCTGTAAAGATGAAGGTTTGCAAGGGACACATCAGCAGTGCCTGCTATTGCTGTAATCATTACCATCAACCACAGACGCGCGAGTGAAGAGCAACTTCATGGAAACAGCTGAGAGTAAATTCAGTTTCTTCTCAAGGGGGTGAAGCAAAATTAGCAATGCTTAGCTTAGAGGGGAAAGAGGAAAGGCTCTTGCACTGCCACTCTCCTTTCTTCCTGTGCAATTGAACCTGCCCAGGAAGGGCTGGGGAAGTGTTTGGGTGCCCAGCTCCCAGCAAAGGGGCAAGCTGTAGGTACACAGGCTGGGTGTAGGCACCTTTGGGCTCTAGGCTGACCTAGATTAGGCTTGAGGATTAGGGCTTGTATTTGAAAACCTTTCACGGTTGAGTCCACCCCACAATTTTTCCATAAAACTATCGCCTCATAGTTCCAGGCACTGCTGCGCTGAGCAGCCACGGCCCAGCTGTGAGCCCCAGCACAGCAGCGCTGGGATGACCAAGTGTTCATCATCTTCAGTGGAAGACTCACAGTCCAGCTTCTAAAAGCCAGGCTCTGAGGGGTATTTGCCAGACCATCCGCATGCAAACATGACCCCTCCACACGTATGCCAGCAGGTCCAGCATCTCTGTAGCACTTATCTTCCACAGCAGTCATCAGGGAAAGCATGGTGCAGTTTGTGACTATTCCCCCGTTATTATA